TGTTGAGGGTGTGGGTGTGTTGAGGGGTGTGGGTGTGTTGAGGGTGTGGGTGTGTTGAGGGTGTGGGTGTGTTGGGGTGTGGGTGTGTTGAGGGTGGGTGTGTTGAGTGTGGGTGTGTTGAGGGTGTGGGTGTGTTGAGTGTTGTGTGTGTGTTGAGGTGTGGGTGTGTTGAGGGTGTGGGTGTGTTGAGGTGTGGGTGTGTTGAGGTGTGGGTGTGAGGGTGTGGGTGTGTTGAGGTGTGGGTGTGTTGAGGGTGTGGGTGTGTTGAGGGGTGTGGGTGTGTTGAGGGTGTGGGTGTGTTGAGGGGTGTGGGTGTGTTGAGGGTGTGTGTGTGTGTGTTGAGGGTGTGGGTGTGTGTTGAGGGTGTGGGTGTGTTGAGGTGTGGGTGTGTTGAGGGTGTGGGTGTGTGTGGGGGTGTGTGTGTGTTGAGGGTATGGGTGTGTTGAGGGTGTGGGTGTGTTGAGGGTGTGGGTGTGTTGAGGGTGTGGGTGTGTTGAGGGTGTGGGTGTGTGTGTGTTGAGGGTGTGGGTGTGTTGAGGGTGTGGGTGTGTTGAGGGTGTGGGTGTTTAGCTGTGTGTGTGTGTTGAGGGTGTGGGTGTGTTGGTGTGGGTGTGTTGAGGGTGTGGGTGTGTGTGTGTTGAGGTGTGGGTGTGTTGAGGGTGTGGGTGTGTGTGTGTTGAGGGTGTGGGTGTGTTGAGGGTGTGGGTGTGTTGAGGGTGTGGGTGTTTAGCTGTGTGTACATGTGTCTGTGTGTGTGTGTGTAATTTCGCCTCACCTGCAAACGGAATGAAGAATCGGAATGATTATGTAACTCATCTAGTACCACTGTAACTCATCTGGTACCACTGTAACTCATCTAGTACCAGTGTCTCATCTAGTACCTGTAACTCATCTAGTACCACTGTAACTCATCTAGTACCACTAACTCATCTAGTACCACTGTATCTAGTACCAGTGTCTCATCTAGTACCACTGTAACTCATCTAGTACCACTGTAACTCATCTAGTACCACTGTAACTCATCTAGTACCACTGTAACTCATCTGTACCAGTGTCTCATCTAGTCACTGTACTCATCTAGTACCACTGTAACTCATCTGGCCACTGTAACTCATCTGTACCAGTGTCTCATCTAGACCATGTAACTCATCTAGTACCTGTAACTCATCTAGTACCACTGTAACTCTCTAGTACCTGTAACTCATCTAGTACCAGTGTCTCATCTAGTACCACTGTAACTCATCTAGTACCACTGTGACTCATCTAGTACCACTGTAACTCATCTAGTACCACTGTAACTCATCTAGTACCACTGTAACTCATCTAGTACCACTGTAACTCATCTAGTACCACTGTGACTCATCTAGTACCACTGTAACTCATCTAGTACCACTGTGACTCATCTAGTACCACTGTAACTCATCTAGTACCACTGTAACTCATCTAGTACCAGTGTCATCTAGTACCACTGTAACTCATCTAGTACCACTGTAACTCATCTAGTACCACTGTAACTCATCTAGTACCAGTGTTCATCTAACCACTGTAACTCATCTAGTACACTGTAACTCTCATACCACTGTGACTCATCTAGTACCACTGGACTCATCTAGTACCACTGTGTCTCATCTAGTACACTGTAACTCATCTAGTACCTGTAACTCATCTAGTACCACTGTAACTCATCTAGTACCACTGTAACTCATCTAGTACCACTTTCATAACTCATCTAGCACCACTGTAACTCATCTAGTACCACTGTAACCCACCTCTCACAGTACAGCGATATATAACAACGGAATGAGAGTATCACCTTACCTGCCCCTGACGCACCCATGTTGACAGAAGGCCTCGTAATTGATGGTCGGCTGGCCCTTACACACACACACCGTGCTTGGTCGTCGTTACCTGTCGCGAAAACAATCATAGAAATAATAAAGGTGCATGAGTATGTTTTTTATCTATCTATTACTGTACAGTATGTCTGTTTGTATCTATCTAGCTACCTGACTCTTGTTGCATTTTCATCTATCATCAATTTCTAGATCTTTTTCACTGTCTATCTTATTTACCTCACGACCACCCATTAGAGGTGACCATGCCGAGTACTGTTCTTCATTCTACAGCTTGGGCTATATCTCTTATTGTGTCTCTCTCACTAACTATCTCTTATTGTACATGTCTCTCACTCTCTTACTAACTCACAATTTCCGCCCTGTACAAAGCTGAGGTAGGACAAGCACCGCCTGTGGCCACAAAAACTATCTCGCCGGGTCAGTGAAGCGTTGTGTCTTGTTATACAGTGATGGCCAAGGGCTGTGTTGAAGGTCTTACACAGGGGCTAAAGTATCGCATGGTGTTTAGCCTGTGATTACTGTATGTGTATGTGCGTTGTGTATACTGTGTATGTGTTGTGTGTACTGTATATTTCTTGTGTATGAGTTGTGTGTGTGTGTGTGTACTGTTGTATGCAGGGGCGGATCCAGGAATTTCAAACGGGGGGTCCAAGAAGTTGCTGTAAGCCCCCCCCCACCACGATTTTTTTTTTAATCTGACCAATATTATAGACATTTTGAAGCCTTGCGCACTTGATATTAGGAGATATTCTGAAGTCAATAGTAAATATTTTTACTATACAAAAATGCCTGAGCACAATACTGCATTAAAGAAAAACTATTGGAATTTTCTGGTGAAAAGGGTGATCCGGACCCCCAGGACACCGCCTGGATCCGCCCTTGGTATGTCTGTTGGGTATGTGTGTGGTGTGTAAGCGTGTTGTATAAGATGTGCGTGTGTGTGTGTGTGTGACTGTGTGTGTGTGTGTGTGTGTAGTGTGAACTGTGTGTACTGTGTGTTTGTGCAGTTTGTACTGTTTTTGCTGTGTACTGTGTGTTTGTGCAGTGTGTACTGTGTTTGTGCAGTGTGTACTGTGTGTTGTACAGTGTGTACTGTGTGCTTGTGCAATGTGTACTGTGTGTTTGTGCAGTGTGTACTGTGTTTTTGAGCAGTGTGGACTGTGTGTACTGTGTTTTTGTGCAGTGTGAACTGTGTTTGTGCAGTGTGAACTGTGTGTAATGTTTTTGTGCAGTGTTGTGTTTGTGCAGTGTGAACTGTGTGTTGTGCAGTGTGTGTGACTGTGTGCAGTGTGTGTTTTGTGCAGTGTGGACTGTTTTTGTGCAGTGTGGACTGTGTGTGTGAACTGTGCAGTGTGAACAGGCAGTGTGTACCAGTGTTGTGTGCAGTGTGTACTGTGTTTTGTGCAGTGTGAACTGTGCAGTGTGTACTGTGTTTGTGCTGTGTGTTTGTGCAGTGTGTTGTCAGTGAAGTGTGTTTGTGCAGTAAGTGTGTGTGTGTTTGTTTGTACAGTGAACTGTGTGTTTGTGCAGTGTGTACTGTGTGCCAGCAGTGTGCTGTAGTTTGTGCAGGTGGACTGTGTGTTTGTGTTTGTGGACTGTGTGTAAACTGTGTGTGTACTGTGTGTTTGTGCAGTGTGAAGTGCAACTGTGTGTTTGTGCAGTGTGTACTGTGTGTTTGTGCAGTGTGGACTGTGTGTTGTGCAGTGTGGACTGTGTTTGTGCAGTGTGCTGTGTGGTACTGTGGCAGTGTTGTGCATGTGTTTGTGAACTGTGTGTTTTGCAGTGTGTGTACAGTGTGTTTGTGCAGTGTGGACTGTGTTTGTGCAGTGTGAACTGTGTGTACTGTGTGTGTTTGTGCAGTGCTGTGTGTTTGTGCAGTGTGTGTGTGTTTGTGCAGTGTACCTGCAGTGTGTACTGTGTTTGCAGTGTGGTGTGTACTGTGTGTTTGTGCAGTGTGAACTGTGTTTGTGCAGTGTGGACTGTGTGTTTGTTGTGGCAGTTGGATGTGTTTGTGCAGTGTGGACTGTGTGTTTTGCAGTGTACACTGTGTGTTTGTGCAGTGTGTATGTGCTGTGTTTGTGCAGTGTGAACTGTGTGTACTGTGTGTTTGTGCAGTGTGGACTGTGTGTTTGTGCAGTGTGTACTGTGTGTTTGTGCAGTGTGGACTGTGTGTTTGTGCAGTGTGGACTGTGTGTTTGTGCAGTGTGGACTGTGTTTTTGCTGTGTGTACTGTGTTTTTGTGCAATTTGTACTGTGTGTGTGTGTGCGTATGTCTGTGTTGTGTGTACTGTGTTTGTTGTATACAGTATATCATGTAGTGTGTGTGTTGTGTGCATGTTGTGTTTCTACAACTTTATACTTAACAAGAATAAGATCATAAATAATACTGTATTGTCATGTAAACAACAAACAGACACACCAACCCAAAAACCATTTGATAGTCCAAACACCTCGATTATAAACCCCGCCCACTGATGATGTCATACCAGGTCCACAAACCCCCCCCCCGGGATTCGAAACATACCATGAACAAAATCCTGAATCAGGTCTCAAACACTGAATCAATTCCCTCGGTTATTTGAAGTAAAGTATTGAAGCTATATTAAATAGCGATAATAAAATTAATCTATCTCTCACACTGCAGCATTCAAGTTAGCCAGCCATTAATTTCTCCAAATCTCTCTCCTTACCTCTTTCCCTGTGCTGCCTGATGCTTCGGTTTACAATACTCTAGAATTTATTCCCTCATATCCCGTCCCACAACTTCATATTTCATTACCCTATTGCTCTTACCCTTTCACTCTCACTTCCCTCATGTCACCCCCATCTCATCTTTCATTCACCTTTCTTTCTACTGTAATAAAACATCATAACTTAATCTCTTTACTGTATCACCTTGGCTGCACCCACATACCTGTACTTTTGTTAGGTATATGAACACAAAGTAGAATTACCTTCACCACCATGTCCCTGAGCAGAAGAGCAAATCAATCCTGAAACAGCTAACGTCCCCAAAATTCAATTCGTAAACATTTGCCAAATCAGTTCCAGCATTATCAATCAATCATATATCAAACCATATTTTCCACTTCCCATAACCAGCCTACTTAAATAGATAGGGTAATTATCTTAAAAAAAGAGAAATACAGTAATTATTTTTATTCTATTTATAGGCAGATACACATGTAGAAAGAGTAAAGTTCTTTTGAGTTTATACAAAGCTACTGGGATGTGTTTTTTCTAAAGATAAAGGAAGATATATTTTTAACTTCTTCGCATTTTTCAGGTCTAAACAAAACAAATACTGTCAATAGTTAGCTTGGTTCTAGATTTTTATTTAGCACAATGAAATTCATCTACACTGAAGTCTAACTCTTATCCGGCGGCATTTTTAAACTGGTCAGGCAGCATCACATTAAATCCTGTTTCCGGTCAATAGCCGAGATGCCAATGAGTATGGATATCATTGTTACAAACTCATTATACTCATATAATTCTCAAACTATCATTGCACCATCTGCTCGTCCATAAGTTTTGCGACCCATTCAGGATGAGCTACGTTTATTTTTTCGATGATTCCGTTAACTTGGAAACAGAGGGACTGGATCTGTTTGTCCCACTGAGGAAGAACATCACGAGCCTCAAAGTGCAGAATCCCGTCAATCTGTAAAAAAGAAATAACAAGTCTTACAGTGATAAGTAATACATAAGCCTCGAGTTAGTTGGTAATTTTTTAGTTTTTTTTTCTACTTAACTACCACCTAAATCACTACCATTTTCCTATAGTGGGTGGCCAATAGGTAAATGAGGTACATAATGTTCCATATGTGAATGTGTCCAGTAATTTGACATACTACAGTATTATACTAGAAAACATGTTAAATATTACCACATTACATCCAGGGAGTACTGTACACTATCCCCACTGGAATTGGGTTTAGAATTGATCTACAGTCATCCCTTGGTTATCACGCCTAATTGGGACCGAGCCGAGTGCGTGATAACGAAAGTACAGAACCTATGGGATTTATTCCAATTGGTTCCAGGCACCCAAGACTCAACCCCAATTTTCCCATTTTACAACCATTTAGACCCACTAAAGATATAGATAATGTTATGGTAAGTATGAGAAACACACATAGGCATGGCTAGGTTTATTACAAAGCGATGAAAAGGGTACGCTCAAAACTGTAGTCCACAAAACATGTAGCTATGCTTTCTTTATTTGAGTCCCCCGTCTGAGATGTCCGTTTTCTGATCACTTCAGGACGCCTGAGTCCTCCGTTTCCTCTCAATCTTAGAGTGCACCCGAGACTTCGTTATTCCTTTGTAATGACACAGAATTTGAAATTGCAACTGGGGTTGCAATTGTTGAGGCAACTAGATATGTCTGATTACAGCAAATGTGTTATTGTCAATTTGTAGGTGAAAGATTTTATCCTCAATAGATGTAGGTGAAGCAAGGGGGTAACAATACACCTGGAGGCAACTGCGTGATAACTAAATTCTCGGCCTGAAAAATGCGCTATAACAGCAGGTGTGCAGATTTTGATGGAGGCGTGATAACAAATATCGCAATAACCAAGGGATGACTGTAATGTATTTACTACTACCTGTACAATACAACACAATACAGTACAGTGTTTTCTCAGTTTAACGAACTAATTCGAGCCACCCCTTTCCATTTAATTGAATTTCCGTTATTTTCACTCGACTTAGCAAACTAGTTCACTAAATCGCGTGTGGTTCCGTTAAATTCTGCCGCTTGGCGCATGGGGTTTGTTTACATTTGCTCAGTCCGTGTCCTGCCATTACCACATGTGTTGTTCACTGCTACCTCTCGGTCAACTAACTACTGTGCTTAGACATCATGCTGAAAGTCTGTCAGAAGTCTTAGAAGGAAGTGGTGTGGGGGGAGAAAATCAAGAGAGCGCGGATATCAATTGGAAAAAAAGTTTGGAAATAATAGAAAAAAATTGAAAACAAGCACAAAACCCCTGAGTTTAAGATAAACCATGAATAAAGTTTCTATATACATATCATGTGTCTGAGGTGTCTCCATAGGTAAGAGTGTATTAATGGAATTAATCTTGAGTTAGCGAACTAGTTCACTAAATCGAGCGAAAAATAACGGAAAAATTCCGTCCGCCAAATCAAGAGTTTGATATATCGGATTCCATTAAATCGAGAGTACATATACTGTACAGTACAGTAATACTGTATCCCCATTAGCTGGAGCAATTGGTATAAAGCATTTCTGACTTTGTGAAAAATTTTCTTATCCCTGGAAAAATTTGCACATCTATGAAATTTTTCCAGGCATTAGTGAATGTTTCAGCATCTAAACTAGACATCTGGCATAGAGTACCGTTGCTACGGAGGCTTAACTACAGTTGAACAGACACAGAGCTGTGTATATTTATGCAAATACTACTGTACATGTCCAGCAACTATACAGTACTGTAAATAAACAAATATACTACAGGTACTGTACTACATACATTACTAAACTGTACTGTACAGGTACTCACCAGCAGATGTTGCCATCTTGAGCTTGTGATGCAGGCAGGCCAAATGGGGATATGATGATACAGGATGGCCTGCCTTTGTCCTGTGCCATCTACTGTAGCAGGTATTACTAACTGTCATTCTTATCTCCCTCCATGATGGGGGGATTGTACATACACTGTATGTACACCCTCTACTGTAGCTTCCAGTCGGCATACACTATCCACTCTGCTATATACGATACTGTACATATGGTACTTTTACACTTACAGAATGTACAGTACAGTATAGTGTATGTAACTGTAATCACTTTTTATGTCCTAACACTGCTTTAACACTAGTTTAATGGCATGCTTAGGTGATTGTATCCTGGTACAGTAATGTACAGTACTGCACAACACAGATCTTATGTGAAAATAGCAGAGTGAGAGAACTAGCTTGTACATTGACAGCAGACAATGAACTAAGGGTGTCACGATGCTAGAGTTGAGGAGACAGCCTGCGAGATACATCAGCCAATCGTAAGCATTCCATGCAGTCACGACAGAAGTAGCCAATCGTAGCGCACGAGTACTGTGAGACTGCCCACCCCACACTCTCGGCACGTGTCAGAGCATGATACGATCGCTCAGAAATTCATTCATATCCACGGAACGAAAGATTTTTCCCGGAATTTCTCAAAACGTTAAAATTTTACTTTACACGGATGGAAAGTTCTGGCATCAAGGATTCCCACACATGGGGATATTCCTGTACTTGGTGACTCACACACTCCCCTTCCTGATGTCTGTCTAATTCCTGGTCATATATGATGAATTCATCTTGGTTTAACACATACAATTTTCTCTTCACTTGTTTATATTCACAATCTTCATAAATTTTACAGCTCTAATAATGATAAATAATTAACCTACACCATGATACACTTGCATAGTTACCTGATCGATGTAACCGTTCATTCTTCCCTCTGTGATCATCTGGCTGGCTATCTTCTCAGCCTTGGCGGGAGATATCTGAAGGAGGGCTCCCAACTCAGGGAAGGTTATATTGTTATATAGTTTACTGGCAGCCAGTAAGTTATGCTCTGTTACTGCTCTGTCCAAGATGCTTGAACCTGAAACATGAACACTTTGCCAATAAATGTGGGAAAAAATTACAATACAGTATTATTATAAATGATGTTAAAAGCGACTTTTAATATTATAATACAGTATACAAAAACATAAGAACATTTACTCTTATTCCACAAGCAAAGAAAGTTTACTCAACCGGAATAACTCACAACAAGTGTAACAAACAAGTAATTAAAAAAGTATGATAAATATCCTGTAGTTCAGGTTTCTACAGTACATCCAGTGGCTGACCAGCCAGGTTCCTTTACTACTAACCATCAGATGTGGTAGCTTGTTGGTGGGGCTGCAACATATTCTGGAACTCTGTAAGTTCATTGTGGCGAATGATACGGTCGAGATGCATTTTCTCCAGAATGTGATAACATGGCAACTTTTGGCAGCGCTCGTCCTTGAACAACGTGCCAAGCATTCTTGATCTTTGTTGACCTTTTATAAATGAATAAAAGTTACTTGATATTAAATTGTATTACTGAAAGATGGGAAGCAAGACATCTTATATTTTGTTCACATTAATGAGACTAATACAGTAACACTTTATAAAGCATGTTTGATATGTAGTCACGGGAAAAAAAATCTGTCGCCTCTCCTGCTGTTCCACAAACACGCGATATTTACACTCATAATTTCCAAAGCATTTGTGGACAGAATAATGCACCAGTGTCTACTGCTTCGGGTTCACAAGTCTGAATCTCGGGGATCATACAGCAGCAGGAGAGGCATCAGGACTTTTGACCGTGACTGTACAGTATATATGAGACAGAATATATATACAGAGTAGTACAGAAGTTCAATGCAAAGCTAGTTGGAATAAAGTTTCCAACAACTTCTATATCAAATAATGTCAATGTATAGTACTGTATGATTAAAACTAATTAATACATAATACTCAGTAATTTTTGATGCAGTTACACAGGTCTTCCCACAATTACTCTCTCCTGCTTCTTCTTACAATACCATCCTTCACATCTTACTTTCAATCTGACCCAAAATATTACAGGACTGACCTCTTTATAAATGTAACTCCACATTACACAGCATTACCATATTTCCTTGCACCCTTACACCTCAAAACACTCCTGACTACTTTCCTTATCTCTTCTGTGCCCTTCACTTTGTGTCACATAATTCTAGGACATTCAAGTTCCTTTTACATATCACAGTTTCAAGCATTCTTTTCTTAGCATTCTCATTACACCCAGGCACATTCTGATACCCCCAGTTTAAGTGTTTTTCTATTTGGTAAAGCTGTACAATACAAGAAGATGGAGTTCCTATCCCACATTCTCAGACTGGGGAGGGAAGTACAGTACTGCACATCAAACCCCAAGCAAGCAAGTGACAAGGTGATCTACTTCCTTATATGTTAGAGTAAAATTTGGGCAGGGAGAGACTGACATGGAAGATGATATATTGGAATCAAATTGTTGGAGTTTGAGGAGAATAATCAAGTGTTTACATATGGAACAATTAGACAAAAAAGATTTAGATTAGGTAGGTTAGTTTATTTACCTGCAGATGCTAACACTGTACAAATCAAAGCTTTCTTCAGAGCCTCCATCCTCTCATCCTCGTGAATGATTGGCCGGTAAGAGAGCTCATTATAGCGCTGTGCTGCCTCTATAAACTTGCGGCGATAATCCAGAACTCGAGCGTAACAAACCTTGTAGTAGATCTGAAGTTGTTCGTTCTTTGACTCAGCCTGTAACAAATATACATCTCGTTTACGATAACAATGGAGGATAAAATACAAACAACCTTATTATGTGTTCCTAATTCAATACAAAAAGTCATACATACATTCATAGGTAAACACTGTTGCTGTATGATCCACAAACTCTGCATGTATATTGTATAGTAGTAATAGTTTATTCACTTACTACTAACACAATTATCTCTCTCTCAATACTGTGTTGGGTAGATCAATGAACAGAGACAAGGAGAGTAATAACAGTTAAATGTGGTATAGAATTAGTGTGGAAACCAAGAGGAAAGGACATGAAAACTAAACTCAAGTATACCTGGGAGTTTCACAGCTAATAAAACAGAGAGAATAGGTTGTCCAGTATACAGTACAGTACTACAAAGAATTAAAATAGAAAATATACACATGTGGTAACTTAAAGATAGTAGTATTTTATTAGAGTTGTACACAAACACTACAAAAAGTATATTTATGGATGGGTCTGATGAATTTCAAAACGAACAGTGTGACTCCTATTGTCTCAGTTGGGTTAGTGTTAATATCCTTCATCTGTTATGTCATATTGTCTCACATAAAATCAGTAAAGATAATTTTTGGAGTGTGTGTATATTAAATTACTAGACATCTGTATATCTGGAGCACCATAAGACCAGACAGGAGATTCTCTGATTATTATACAGTACTGCACTTAGATTACATAAGCTCTAGCCCATGGGTTAGGTAGTTGCCTCAGCTAAGTTACTGGGAATGTTTAGGATTTTATAGTAATGTACAGCTACAAAACATAAGCTCCTAATAATATTCCAACTAGAACCTAGAAAAAGGGTGTACGGTATACCATGAGAAGTCATGTAAAGAAGCCAGAATCACTTCATATACCATACCTACAGTATCTTTGTTAAAATTAGTTACTGCACAAAGTTCTTTATATTTACCACACTAGACTATAAACATATACATAATGAAAAACAAGTACTGTGTCAATAATGCAACAAACATAACAATGTTAACTTCCTTGTGTTTGTGACTCAGGAAAATATATGCCACAAACAGGGTCACTCTCTAAGGGACAAACCTGCAAGATGCTGGCCCTGTTGATGTAAGCCTCTCCCTGCACCGGGTCATCATCCTCGAGGTACAGGCGAGCAATCTTGAGATACGTCTCCAGTTTATAGTCCACGCTGTACTGTCTGTGAGATGGAAATAAACAAAAGACTGACGTACGAAACCTCAGTTTAAAGCCGAGGGGAAAGAGCCATGTGACATACAAGATCACCCTCTGTTACAACCCTAGGTGGAGGTCTTGTCCAGGAAGCTTTATGCAGTCTGAGGTTGAAACATGGATTACTCTCATTCAGTGTAAATATACTGTTGTTCATCCAGTCAAACCAGGGTACTGTATTGTATTTTAATCACTGGGAAACATTTCAACCACATGTTCCCAAAATGAGCCTTACTGAAGTACAGTGAGAGAACAACTGAGACATAGTGTGGGACAAATGGGTATGTGATAATTATCTGCCTTAGTAAAGAGAGTGGCAGGTAGGTCAACACCCATGGAAAAGACTCCACAGAAGGACTATCTAACGTCCACTCATATGACATCTTTTCCTCAACAGAACCTCTGCCTTCACTCTCAGCCTCCCTACAATATGAATCAGGAAAGCTTTTATATCTGCCTAAACAGTTCATCAAATCTTCCTATGGCAGAATTGATTTAGAGGAAAATTGATTCTCAGTACAGGATAAAACTGACACAATATCTATAACTGCTTCAGGAATCCTTGTTTAACTGGGTAAGCATCTGTTTCCAGCCCTTGCACTGGTTCCAAATGGATTATATCCCCATCACAGAATCCACAGAGCCCCTGGAAAAAGGTAGGTACTGTCAGGGAGTTCTTGAGGCATTTTATCTCTCACCTTAGTTGACAATTGACCAAGAACACAAAAAATAAGACAGGTTATCTATCCCTTTGTCTAATGCAATTGTTCTCCACATGTAATAAATGGTTATCCTAGCATAGTCTTCCAAAAATATTTTCATTAATAAGGTACAGTACAGTATGTTAAACATTCTACTTTATCTAACACACTTTTGTCCGGTTTCAAGAGGAATCCCAGTGAGGACAGCCGCAGCATCCCTCCATGAACTCTCCCGCTCATAAATATCTGCAAGGTGCTGTCTTATACTGGCTACTTGCTCCTCAAAGCTGATGACACGAGGCTGTACCTGACATTAGAGAAAATGCATTATATTATCTTTCCTAAATGGGGCAATAATATTATTTTACTCCTCAACCATTTAACAAACTAATGAACTTATTCTGTATGTATCAATAATGTAGTCACCTTCATTTATGCCTGGTACAGTGAGATGTGGCACCTCTGTGTTTGTCTACATCATATTAAAACTCCTGGAATGGCCCCAAGGAAACTGACAATAATAAACAGACTAAGGATACTTGATAAGCATTCACAATTGCACCAGCCACTGTACCAGGAGACAACTGTCAAAGATGAACTTACTTTATCAAGTGTAAAATGTGCAACAGTCTTTGCAACATTATCTGCCATGGAGGTCAACTGTGTGGAGACATCTGATAGTAGCTGTCGGGATATTACCAGACTCACCGTCTCCTTCACAACTGAAAAGAAAACAATTTGACGAACAACTTAGGAAATGTGTTTCCAAACTCTTGTACTAATTCCCAAAGTGAAGGTTCTTTATTAAAATATGTAAATACTCCTCCTAAGATATATCAGTGAAGTAAGGGCTGTGATGGTCATGTGGTGAGGGAGTGTTCTACCAGTAGGGACAAAACAGACAGAAATTCCAAGTGACATAAGGTGGAAGGAAACATCCAGCCCAGCCTGGTTATACTCACACCAAGCACCACCTAAGATTACAATACAGTAATAAATTTCATGATCAATATAAATGTCTCAATTACCCATATGTTGTATCTTAATGAGAAAAACAAACTTTGTAAGATCACTATGCCAAGTGCTGTACATGTGAATAAAAAACTGAAACACTTCTCCCAAACACCTTGCTTCTCTTGACTCTCCTGCATATGGGAGGTACCAAGAGCTCCTTCAAGTTTAATAAACTCATGAACCAATAAACCAGAGTTGGGGACCCTCCAGCCCATCGAAGTAGAGAAGCATCAGTTAAGTGAATCACGTACTCTTAGGAGGGCTCAAGGGACTGTACAAGGCTAAGTCCTTACTAAAACTAACACACTTACTTGCTTCAATAAATGCCTGAAGTCCTTCTGCCATGTCATTTTCATTACCAACTTTAAGGATTGAGTCTAAGACTGCACGATATCTGAAGAAGATAAAATACAGTATAGTACATTGAAATTCACAAATATCCTCCCTAGATATACACAAAAGTGAAATGTTCAGACAAACTGGAAACCAAGAAAAATCCAGTTTAAATTCTTTGTACAGTACACAACACTCACGTCAGCAAATACAGATAGATAAAATTTTGGTACATGTGTAAATCTCACCAGATATTTGAAATGTCTTTTACTTTTACCTTTTTACTTTTATCCTCTTCACCACTATCTGATTGGTCAAACCATATCATGTGAAGTTCACATAAAACAGCATTGAATTGAATAAACAATAATATCACACAAAAATGTGTTTAGCAAACTTAAAATCCATCAATACTGTTGTGTCTTGGCCATAACCAGATCAAATCTACTGAACATAAACAAAATTTACAGCATACAAAACCAGGTTCCCAGAAACAGTGATTGATTATCCATTAGAAAAATAAGATCAGAATTTTTTTGAAAAAGGTTATAATTTAGGTTAGGAAAACTCAAGTCGGATTCTTCAAAGCCCCATCCACTTTGGAAGGAGTCATTGTCGAGCGTAAGGGGTGACTTAACTGATGTTTATAAACATCTAAGAGGGCATTACTCAGTAGAGTGTTCATATCTGGAGATTGTGAATGCCCACCCGACTTGGGATTACAAATCAAGGTTGAAGAAGCCACATGTTCGGAAAAGTGCCAGGGTAAACTTTTTCAGAGGGAGAAATGTATGCTCTTGGGATTCTGCCAGAGAGCATTGTGATGGTACTGAGTGTAAGCTCATTCAAGACCAGACTTGACCAACACTGACTGTTCCCCTGAGCGCTTTACCCTCCCCCCCCCCGGACTGTACGTATTTATATCAAGTTTTATCAGTTATATAAATTATTTGGGATATGTCCAGCCATACAAACTGCAGTTCATTACCTATTGTGCTATACTGTGCTGTATTTTTGTTATCATTTGTTTCTGTTTGCTTTATGTTTGGTACAAAACACAGAAATAATGAAAAGACTTCATTTGAAAGTGAATTTCATCTTTGACTTCAACCTTTTATGATAAATATTTAAAATTTTCTAACAACCTCTCTGAAGTGCTAGTACTGTACAGTACAGGGTACTGGGAGAGGCAAAAAACCCAATAGCCATTTTATGGATAAAATCGTTAGGTTAATATTTAGTAGTTACCACCACCTAACTGATTATTGAGTCATATTTGGCGAGATAAATAAAAAAAATTTAAATAATTTATTCTATAACATTTCCATCGGAAATTTATAGTTTTCGAGTTAATTTAACTTTTATTTTATAATATTTAGCCAATCAGCACGAGTGCTGACGTGATGTAATACTCGTGCACTAATCAGCACAAGTCTCCACTCACAGGCAGTTGGAAGATGACGTTTGTATGAGAAGGATGTACAATGAAAGACACAAGTCGTGTCGTGAAAATTTGGTGAAAACATATGCCGAAGGGCTAAACTTTTGGTGCGCTCTGCCTTGTGGTAGGGCTCTCATAATGTTTCACGAGTTATATTTAATCTTCGGACAAAACCGCGACACGACTTTTGTCTTTGATTGTACATTGGGTGACTGGCAATTTTGACAATGAAGCTGCAGCCGTTGTCATTCTTAAGGCTCACGGTGTTCTTGTTTCATCGGTAAAGTGTCCAAGACGTACAGTACTTCAGAGTGTCAGTACCGTGTAGATCACTATGCATGGTACTGTGGTGAGGGAAGTTTCTTACATACTAGGGGTTAGGTTAGGATTTTATTTTTATTTTTTTAGATTTTTACAATGTTTGACCTACCATTTCTTTACTACTGCTCATTTTCGACGGCAATGAAGATCAAATAAATATTTAACACGATGATTTACACTATAGAAACCCATTTTCAAAAGTTAATTAGGTGTTGACAACTAAATATTTACCATTCATTACTTTCTCCTTGCCCTACAGTCAGTTTTACAGTCTACACATTAAAACAGATTAAAACAGAGGCTTTAGTAAAAATCCCAAACTAAAAGCATCTAAAACCCAAGTGGTGACCCCAGTACACACCATTATATATACCTCTACACCAATTGTACCAACTAGTGAATATACTCTACCGAATCTTTACCCAAATTACAAAATAATCAATAAAAATTACACATATAATATACTAATAAAATAAAAGACCAATAACTATAGCACCAAATAAACTGTATCATGATCCACCAAATACCTATAATATAACACTCCTTACTTGTCATGGTCTTTATGGGAGCCACCAAAAGACACTAGAGCCTGTAGCTGCTGACGAATTTGTACAGCGAAAGCCATTTTACTAATTAATGAAGTATATATTATCTGTGGAGTATGTGACGCCTCCACCAGCTGACTGACTCTTGACTACAACACTGAGTCAGTCAATAGTCATGAAGGTTCTATCTTAACTAACAATAAATTATGTTCTTTATCTCTTTTTTATATTTATAGCCGATCAAACTGTTTATTTAATACAGTTTTATATAAATAAGGATATGAATACATCAATAAATATAAAAGTTTTCCAGGGGGTGAGGGAGGGGGGTGAGGGAGGGAGTGAGGAGTGGTGAGGGATGGGGTGAGGGAGGGGGGTGAGGGATGAGGGGTGAGGGAGGGGGGGTGAGATGGAGGGATTTTGTCTGAAGGTAATTGACCTAGGTATTCAGCCTAACATACCGCACCTGCTTGAATACAAAGATTTCGGGATATGAGCCTCACTCCCAGTAATAAGACTAATAATGACAGTAATTATTATTAATATTATTATTATTATTATTATTTGACATCTATTCTCACTCTGATGTTAAGGAAAAAGTCTTAACTCCTCAACTAGTGAAAATATCCTAAACCTAATTGTTGAGCCAAGAATATAAAGTATTTATTTATATTGTATTTCCGCATTAAATCTTGTATTTCTTTTCATTCATATATTTATATTGTAAGAAAATCTGTAATTATATATATATTTAGATTCTCAAAATTAGTTACATTAATTTAACTCATATCAAAACATAAACATGGCAACGAAAAACTATATTACCAATTTAATATTTTCTTAAGAGTATATTAAGACTACATATTCTTTGTTTAATGATATTTAACTTACTAATATTATAAATAAATTGTACTATAGATTTATTTTAGTGAAACAGGTCTTAATCTATCATAGGTATATCTTATCTAGCTACTTGGTCCCGTGACTACAAAATATATTCAATATGAAATTTCCTTATCCCTCAAATTTCTCTCTTATAGGCATCATCCTATTTAATCTAAGTCTTTTATATTTCCAAATAAATCCTCATATAATAAAAGCTATAATACAAACATATTAATTTATAAAGGGATTCTATTTTGTTCAATGTTTTTAGGGAAGTACACGACTTGAATGGTCATGGCGGGAGTGGAATTTAATATGCCACATATAATATAACCAACCAAACCATAACCCCTAGTACTAAAACCATACAAAATAAAATAGTTAATAATTATCTATATATATAAATAAATACTTGTTAATAGTAAATATATAGAGTTAGAGTAGAGTTATAGTGTATAAGGATGAAGTGTTATGGTAGAGGTGGCAACATGGCGAGGTGCGCACCCATCAGAGGACTATGGGATGGTAATGGTGGGCGCGTGAGTTTGAACACCCTCACAATGCCACATAATAACCCTGGTAAGTGACCTAATGGGAGCAATTAACGCCTTCAGATGCATAAATGGTGGAAAGTTAAGGGATAGGAGAAGTTAGAAATAGATAATAGGAGAGTGTTAGTTTTAAAATGGGTTAATGGTTGATAGGTATAGATCCCCCCTACCATGTAAACATCACCTAATCAATGAAAACAAACCTGAATATATACGTATTTTTAGCCTCTGGATTTATTTATTATACACATCTATACACAGAAAGATACTATTCAACAATATCTATCTCTAAGTAATAAAAAAAATGGGATAAAATGATGAATAAAAGAGAAAATAAGGATGATATGGATATGGTGGTGTGATGTAGAGGCTTGTGTTATAACCTGGACCATGGACTGCTGTTAGTACCTTGTGTCCTGTGTGTGTGTGTCCTGTGTGTGTGTCCTGTGTGTGTGTCCTGCTGCTCCTTCCTCATGGCTGGGTGTACATGGTGTAGGTCAAGGGGGGGGGGGTGTCTGGAATGAATTTAATTAAGGTTGTGGTTATAGGTATTGTAATTTTGGGGTCTTTATATGTAATGGTTGTTATGATCTGTTTTGACCTGTGATATTGTAGGTAATGTGTGGATGATGATAGTTAAGTTGTAATTGATAGAGTTTTGGTGTCCAGGTAATGTTAGTTTGGTTTTTTTTTTAGTTTTTTAAATATTAATTGTTTGTCATTCATGCCAAACTTGTTATATAGTTTTATTTCCATTGTCTTGTCTTTGCTAAAAACATTAACTTGTTCTTGTGGCCACTGGAACATAAATATTGTGCTGGTAGTTTTGTCAGATTTTGAATTTATAAAACTTTCTTCTTCCACAAATATTTTTTTTTAATACTTGGGGTAGAAAGTGTGCAGTTTTGATAAGTATTTATTTGGGTTCACTTGAAATATCTCCACACAGCTAATTTCACCTAAAGATTAACCAGTTCAATGCTATTTGGGGCGATGAAGTTAGGTTAGGTTAACATTAGGGTGGTTAATCTTTAGGTGAAATAAGCTGGGGTGGAAATTTTCAAGTGATTTATTATTTCTAATGTAGGAAAATTGTGGAACATTAAAAAGAACAGAATTCAATGTACAGTACTCAGAATCGTGCATTAAACTGATACAGGAAAAACAGCACTGAGTGATTGGTTGAGATCAGTGAAACTACATGATAAGTAGACAACACAAACCATCCAACCATAACAAAATGATCTTAGTTTATCCTTTATGAGGTTGAGTTAAGCATGGTGGGTTCCTGGTAACTGCTTTTACATACAGTACCGGTTTATATACAATTCAGTGGTTTAGTCTCATTATCGTCGGATCAACTAAAATTATTCTCATTATTATTAGTGTTGTTGTTGTAATGGTAATATAACCCATGTTGAAAGATTATCTGTAAGTTGTATGTCAGAAATATGTGAATGAGTTGTATGTTAGGCAGTGCTGTAATGGTAACTATGTGAAGTTTTTTGGGTTTAATTGAGTGATATCTTCTTCATAATGGGTATAAACTGGACAGAAAGTCATGTGATCGGAGATGTGGGGATGATATTGTGTGGTCGTACAGTTTATTTTATTGAGTAGCAGAAATTTAAGAACACCTTTGGTTTTTCTTTTTCATGGAAATTTTTGTAAAGGTTGAGAAGAAAGTCGTCATCTTATTCCCTCATATTTCTGGGTGGAATTTTTACGTATATTTCTGTTTTAACTTAGAGAAAACAAATCTGGTTAGAGCAAAAAGAAAAACTTCAGGTTGTAATGATGAAATCGTTCCTGTGAATCTTCAGAGGCGGGAAGACAAAAGGCTTTAGTAATGGTGTGTGTCATAATCCAACCGGACTTGACCTGACTAAGAATTGAGGCACTGAGGGCAAGAATAAGACGAGTGGGATGAGATGTGATTAGGATACTATTATACTCTTTTCAAAATGTCGAGACTTTAATTGTCTGTATCATATAGTATTTATTTTATTATTTATTTTGTTTTATTTTTGCTGTTATTGTTTTTTTCATTTTTTAGATTGGGTCAGGTTTTATGGTTGGTGGTCCAGATGGCTTCATAGGAAGTGAGAAAATTTGTGGCCCGGAGACGTGTGGCATCTCCTCGAGGTAGCAGGGAGTATTTTTTCAAGAATGAATCACTCAGACCCACCGAACTGGAGTGACTCATTCGTGAAAAATACTACCTACTGCCAGCTGTCTCCTTCAGTCATAAATTTTCTCACTTCCCATGATGCCAACAGTAGAGTATCCTTATAAAAGGTTAAACCAGACAGTCTTCCCGAGAGATGTGTTGGCAAGGCTGTTCCATTTTGTAGAGACACTTGTCATTATTCTTGCATATTTATGCTTATTTTTTATTTTCTTCTCTGCCAGATTTACTTTCAGTTGATTAAAACATATTCAGGAAGATCCCGTAAAATGATATCAGGACATGTGTTGCTGACCATCTTCTTAACCTTTACTAAAATTCTATTATGAATCATTTGTAATGCCAATAATTGTAATTCATTTAGTAGGAGAATGATAAAGTAACATTCCACTCTGTACTGTACCTAGATATGAGCCACTAACTGAGGCACTTGAGCAAGTACTGTATGCTCTAAGGAAAATATTTTGGGCATTACTGTACCTGTACTTTTAAAAAATTTTCTCGTGTAGGTTCTAGGGCCAATTGCATGATCAGCCGTGGTGTACAATACACTGTGGTATCCCGGCGGTCGTAATACAATGGAATAAAAATTTTGTGATTTTTCAAGATGGGCAATGGTGGTACCCGACCGTTTTGTTGTAACTACGTCATCGTAGTGTAGTCAGGTGTACCAACTGGCGGAAGACTTGGGGGTTGGTACCATGCTTGCACCCTCAAAACGTTGTCAGTGGCACGAAACGTTTACTCTTGCTACACGATTTACGAGCATGAAAAACTTGAATCCCAAGCTAAGGTGCACCTCATTTTCCTATTTTCTTGGATTATAAGCCAATTCTGGGAATAAAATGCGATCATTTACAGTGAATATAGGTAAATAAAAGCCTGTGACAACCATAAAAACGTAGGAATTGAGTGTAATATCTGTTCCTTTCTTCTTTATCCTTATTAAATCTAACAATAAAGTTATAAGTTTTTCGTGAACTTGGGGTTGGGTGAGTGTAATAAAGAGAACTATGGCCTGTTCTGTGGATGAAGTCAGTAAAATACACCAAAGTACAATATTAGGTATTATAATTTTGTTATGACAGTGATGAACTCACTGTACAGATGAATTGGGATAAAATCTTGAAACAATATCACCATAACTGTTAGCTTTCTTTCAAACAGGAAATTATCTTTATACCAAAATTTTTCCTTTCATATTATACAAGGCCAGTTAGCTACAAGATATGAAAACTTGAGATAATGTTTCCTCCTTTTCTCCACCTGATTATAGTAATACAATAAATACCCTTTCAAAAAAACAAGACATGAACACTTTCCCAATGTCAGGAGTAAAAATGTATACAATATGTTAAGACATGGACTAAACCAGAAGTCGGAGAAAAGTCTCTGCTGTTTAAATGGTCTTTTATTTGGAAAAATATTCCATGTAAATACTGTATATGGATCCTCACCAGAGAGCCTTCATATAGTTAGTGTGCAGACATTTGTTTACAAGGCATATACAGTACTCAACTATTATGGAAAGGAAGAAGAATGTTAGGTTAGGTTAGATTAGGTTCATCTCGTGAACTGTAATAATAATAAGGATAAGAATACAATGATAATGCTTATGTCAGAATATAGCCTTTATTAAAAGCAGGATATGTTATAATATATGGGTGATCAAGAGTAAAGTATTTTAAAAGAAAAATCATCCACAATTTCACAAATATATTAATACGTAATATCCATGTATGCAGGGCCGGATTTACCTACTTTTTTTTTACTACGGAATTAGCCCACCGGGCACAGGTCAAAACCACCCACAACCTGGGGGCAAAAAAAAAAGAACGGAAATTGTAAATATAGAAAAAAGGTTATACATACTGTATTAATCTACACCAGGCCAAACTCATCAGTGGGCCCCAAATTTATAGAAATGTTTGCATGTTTCAATATATATATATATATATATATATATATATATATATATATATATATATATATATATATATATATATATATATATATATATATATATATATATATATATATATATATTATATATATATATATTTATTTATTTTATTTTTTTTACTGTATTTATTTTGCAATGGCTAAATGTCATTAAATATTACATAATATCATAATATTATAATGTAAGAAATAAGAATTTCAACACAATGTGACACATCATTACTTTTAATCAAATTAGTTCTATATCATGTACATCTTATATATGGGAATAATGAAAGAAATACAATTAACTTGAAGCATAATCAATTTTGCAAGCACACGAAGTACAGCAAACTGTGTGAATTTCAAAATAACTTCTTCCTACTTTTTTTCATGGAAAATTTGTCAATGATACTGTTTTTTTTTTAATGTAGATTTTTATGGTGATTCCAAAACTTTCATCCCTTTTTTGGAGAAATTCATTGAAAAAAATTATAAGCCCTTTAAAATTTTAATGTTCTACATCAAAATGTTAACCTAACCTACCTAACTTAACCTAACTGGAAAACATTGGTGAAATTAAAATTCTAAAATTCCCTGGATGACAGAAAAGATAATAAGACCTTAAATTTCATTTATTTTGGAAGACATTATTCATTTTTGTTGGAATCATGGCCTTCCAAGCCAATATATCTGCGCTTGATTCTACCACTGTCAATGGCAAAGTGAATTATTACCACCACTCCAAATGTTGCACCAAAAGTGGTAAGGTAGTTCTTTCTTGCAATACATTGAGTCACTGAGGGAATTAAAAAAAAGAACATAAATTTATGTCACTGAATTTATCGTAGTAACAAATTGTGGTTACACTGATACACAAATGAAACATGCCTGGGAACTACCTGGCACTGGTTACCTGGCATATTTGGACTTATTAAAATATGAAATTTAGGCTACTAAGTATTTATACTCATGAAATAATTATTTTGGTAGTGCTGGACGGTTATTAATTGAGCTCATAACGAAAATTGGGTCGATATTATTTCTGATAAGGGACGTCATTCACCATCCCAGATGGAGCAGTCTCACCACTCTTCAAATACAGTAGACCACTTACAATTTTTTTTAGCTTAATTTGATTTCCATACATTTCTACACATAAATTATTTGGATTAGTTATCTTAAAAGCTTACCTTTTATGGTGGTTAGGAGAATTTGGAAGATATAAGCGGCGATGAGGCAAGTAGAGGCTGGCGGATGTTCCTAAACAAACAAGGAATTCTTTAAAGAGAACACTAAAATTCTTCATGTGCTGTTCTATATGGAGGATATCTTATAAAAAATATTATTCCTTTGCAGATTTATACAATTCATGTGCATCCAATTCTATTTATTTTCTTTTGGTTTCAAAATATAGTTCCATCGTAGTGGTCATCGGGCGAGGGTACGAGTACCACGGAAATCTCCCACGTTCCAATAACGAATCGTAGATATTTTTTTTTTTTTTAGCCCAGTACGCTTCTTGCACACCAACCATGGGGCTACTGCAGCATGGTATACACCACGGAGCTTCTTGCAATTGGCCCTTAGCCTCCACAGTTGAGTCTAATTACTGTATAGCACAATGCTTATAATCAAGCCCTGTTGTGTATACGAGTAGTGGTGAATATAATTCTACATAGCAATTGTTATACTGTACACTATGCAGGGTATTCATTTTTTTTTTTCCATAAAGATGTTATTTGATAAATAGACTCGATACCTTTGGGTGTTACTTATGAAATTCAAATGTGTAGGAAGCACGTACAGTTCTATACTTGTCTCAGAAGAAGTAAATACTAGTAACTTCAGTTGACTTATCAATATATTTTATACTGTACAGTATTTATTTGATCTCGGATTTAAATTTTTTCAGACAAAGATGTCGGTGAAGGGGGAAACACGGTGTTTATTGATGCGTCCGCCCTGGGGGAGTTATCGAGTCAGTTCACCCCACAAGACCTGGAGACCCTTGTAGGGTTCAACATTCAAGCTGCAGACTTTGAGGCTTCGCTCCAGGAAGCAACTGAAGCTCACGTAAGTAAATGCCCCGGCTGTTGTATACAGTACAGTATGTACAGGTGTATCTTATAAGGTTTTTCTAATACCGTACTGTACTGTACAGATATCCCTCACTATACGAATGGCTTAGTTTTCTTGAAAACCATTCTTAATACAATATTCGTATACAAAATAATATAACATATAGGGATAAAATAGGATTTGCTTCCCACTGACAAGAAAACCTCAATATTATACCTAGGTAAAATTAAATAGATTCACAAGGAAAAAAAATCTTCCTCCTGTAAATTAGTACATTACAGTACTGTACTTAGCTACAGTAGTTTTCGAACAAACTACAAAAAAGAAAACAATATACCTGTATACCTAAAAAATTAAATAAGTTTATTAACAACAAAATACATACCTAAATACTGTAAATTAATACCTAAGTACTGTACTATTATTTGGTACCTAATTACTGTAATTTATTACCTAGTACATTAAGAAATTAATGAAATATAAATTTGGTTCATTAACTAAAGGCAACATAGCCTTTGTATAGGGCCAAAGAGGTGTAAGACAAGAATATTTGTACAATATAAGCGAATATTCGTAGAGTGAACATTCATGTAGCGAAGAATACCTGTATAATCATGTTACACTGGCTGGACTTTCTATTGGTTTTATCATTACTCTCTTAACCAAATTACAGTTTAGGTTAAGTTCATCCTGTTTGCCCTAGAAAGCTTGTCCGTCCCTCCCTCCCTCCCTCCCAATGGGTTAATTAAGGTTGGTCCGGCTCCCTTGTTTTCTGACTGAACCAAACAATAAAGGGTTGATGAGAACATTCATTATTTACTTAACAGCAGAGACTGTTGAGCTTGCTTTCCTTTTCAGGGCTTTTTCATATCAAGTGTCTCCTCTGTTGGAATTAATTGTGGAGGTTAGGGATACTATATTCCAATTTTAAAATTTATTTGCTTTTCAGGTTCCAGGTACCAATTTGTTTCCCCGGGTTTTCAACCCATAAGAAGGCAGGATTTTAGGATCAACCGATAATTTTTCTGCCTTTTGTCTTTGATAAGAGTTTTGAATATTGTATTATCTTATACAGTATTACTCAGTTCTTTTGTTTGGTCAGGATTAAAACTTAATTTTTTACTTATTTTATTTTATTTTTATAATTTAGATTGATCTTAGGTCACTTTGAATTAATTTAAGATCTCTTAAAAGTTCTCAAGTCATGCTTGAATCTTACACCTTTATGAAGTCATATCTCAGGAATTGCTTATATTGAAATATGGGTTGGTAGAATTTTTCATCATATACTGTGCACAATACAACAAATCTGTTGGATTTAAAAAAATCTTGGAGCTTAATTTCAGAATCATCCAAAAAGTTAAATTTAGTACACTGTTCTAGTCACAATATCAAAATATTTTATGCCTCGTATTATATGAAGCAGTGAAATACAACTCTTAACATACTGATTCATCTTCCACAGGTGGTAGATGCCAGTGGGGTACTGATATCAGATGGAGTGGCAGTGGGGAACATTGTTGAGGTGGCAGGTGGTGATGGAGGGGTCGTGGGCGAGTCTCAACAGATTGACACACAGTCCCACCACCAAACAACTCACCACCAACCAATGGAAGTGGATGCCCTCACAGAACATGCACAAGTTATTGGTAATTGTTAGGTGTATGTGTTTTGTTTGTCATTTGGAGGTTGCCAAGTTGGGATTAGATGTGTAGAAAAAGAAGAACCTGATGTGTAGTACTGTAGTATAAAGTTTTCAATGTGAAGATAATGAAATGTACTTTACTGTATAAGCATTTCAATGTGAATATAAAGGAGTTGGTAGGAGTTAGTTAAAGGTGAGAGGATGTGGATATTGACAAGCTGAGGATGTAAGGAAGTGGTTGTAGAGTTTCCTTTTTGATATCTCAGCCATTTCCAATCACACCTCTCAGATTTATTATGCCTTCTATTAAAACAAAAAGTAACATTGACACTCACAACATCTGCATTTTGTACAAGGTGACATGGAAATGTTACAACAAGGGAGTGAACTCATCACCATGACCGGGGAAGACCTGTCAGCTGGTGGAGAGGCTGGCACGGCTGCTCTTCTGGCTGCTGTTTCTTCTGAAGGAGATACCACTTCACACCAGATCGTCACAGACACACCACAGGTTATTAAGAGCAACCTTGCGCAGTTTGTCGTACTCCAACAGAACCAGGTGGGTGATGAAGCCGTGGAGGTAGACCAGTTTTGTATTACAGTGCTATATTTTTATTTTGATATGAAAAGAATTGAATTTGTTGGGGCTGGTTTGACTACGCTCTCTAAATGTACAAAATACTATAATATAAGTCACTGAATATTTGGTAATAACTTATATGAAATACACGTTTTGGTGACATTCCCTATTGTTTCAACAGAATTCAATATCACTGGGATCCGTGGGTAATCGCATAATAACTTCTGGTGGACAAGTTGTATCAACAGTGGCAGGACTCAGTAACAGCATCAACAGCAAGCCGGTAGTAGTAAATACGTCCCAGCTTGGTGGAACACTGAGGCAGCAGATGGTTGTGACCCAACCCACCCAACAAACACAGCAGGTTCGAACTGTGCAGTTTAGGCAGGCACCACAAACACTGTCACACAACATTGGAGTAAGTAGTATTTTCATTATATATGCAATATATACACACACACACAAGCATCTCTAGAGTTATGGAAAGGTTGCATTTACGTGAAAAATTGTCCATCACTTGATATATAGTTTCCCATTGGTTTCCGTTGTGTACTTAAGATGCGTTTGTAGAGAAAAAATTTTCCCCAAGGACAAACTAAAATAACTCCAAAGACTGTTTAAGCATTCTACAGTAATCATTCTGTTTAATGGAATAAAGCGTACAGGCCAATTCTGCTTTATTGAATCGAGTTATACCTCTGACAATCAAGTGGATATGTTCGTGAAGTCCACTTCATTCTTGGAAATTTCGTTGTCAGAGTTAGATTTATAAAGGACTAGATTCCAGTCACTCATGTACTGTACTGTATACTGGTCAGTATTTTCAGCCCGATTGGACAGCTTTTCAGTTGATGGCAACGTAGCAAAGGCCAATAAATTTGATTTTGCAATCTGAATTGACAGTTATAAAACATGAACCAACAAATGTAGGAACAAATGACATAGTAGACATGTGGTAGGGTCGAGATATATCGCGAGATAGGGTCCAAGGATGTTCGCCACATACTAAATCGCGATATGTAATTACATGTAATCAATGGGGAAATAGGATTAGGTTCTGGAGGCCATTAAAAGTGACTAAACTTGACTTAATGAGTTTATTTTCTTACTAACTAAAGCACCAATGAACACTAAACTCGGGAACAACAGACTTAGGAACACCAGACTCGGCAGCTGACCCGCTATCCCGGGAACACCAGACTCGGCAGCAGACGCCACACTGCCACCCTCACTTGACAATCCCACGCCTACATAAATGAACAAACCAAAAATATTAGTGTGGGCGAGCGTGAATGCATGAGTGAGCAGCCACAATGGCACCTCTGGTGAGCAAATAACGCATTTGTTTGCCATAGCGGTAAATTTTAAATATTTCCTGCCCGATTTCCCTCGCATAATAAATAAATTTATCGCTATATATTGGAAAATGTCTAATTTTGGTAGTCCCAATATAAAAAACCCGTTATAAAAAACTACTATATATCCCGACCCTACTGTACTTTGAGTTCCAGCATTCACATGGACCCTCAAGACAAAAATAACTTATGAAAATTTCTTGCGTCTGTAAAATTGAGAGACGCACTCTCCTATCTTTCTCTTCTCTGGGAGAAAACGTAAAAACCTGGGAGACCACAACAATGTGTGGTGAGGTAATGTGGGAAACTTACTGATCGCACCCAAACAATGATGCGACCCCACTTGGGTGTTACAGGGAGAAGCAAACGAAGCAACGTGAAGAAGCAAATTCTGGCACAGATTCGTTCTTCTGAAAAGGGATTCTGTTATAAAGAATGATTACTGTACATAATTAATTGAAACAAGATATATTTTGTAAATATTGTGCAGACATCTTTGATTTATAAAGTTTTGGAGTGGAATCCTTGTAATCAAATCCTTGTAATCAAAGGACACCTGTACACTGCAATATAAAGTTTGGGAAGACATTGTGATTAGAAGTTATGAAATACAGACATCCATCTTGCACTTTACAAAGGATCAATTTATAATTGGTCGTCCAGAACAAAATCCTTTTGTAAATTGAAGAAAGCCTGTATTAGTGACAGTACTTCTGTTTTTAATGAAGAGAAAGAAGAAGTCAACTCATGGAAGCATAAACTGTAATTAAGATAGGTTTGGCGCCCTTTTTGTGGCATTAGCCACCTTGACGTCATTGTGACAAGCTACCTCACTTCACCTCAATACCCATCTTCCCTAACTGTTAAGATAGTCATTATAGATATATTATCTTGTTATGTAGATGGTTTTGATGGCTGAGAAGACTCCTCTCAGCAAAAACATAGTCAGCCTGTATAATGTACAGTACTGTAGTTTGTTATAAAATGTGTCAAGGTTCTCTGACAAGAAGGATACTCAACTAGAGTGATTTAGTGGTATGGGTCTTGCAGGTCACTCATTATGGCCTGTATGATTTCATATATACAAGTGTTCCATTGACTTTGTCATCTCATCAGTATTATCATATTTATCTATTGTCCATGGAATCACTATATACCATAGTTCCAATTTTAACAGACTGTAACCAAGGTGATCATTACAAGTCAGGCGGGTGGTGGCATCGGCACTATGGGAGGCCAGCAGGTGCGCCTCGTTACCAGCCAGAGTGGTGGAGGGCAGGTGACGTCATCCCCAACAAAGCTCACACTACAACAGGCACAACAGATGGGGCTCATATCCCCATCAAAACCCATCAATCCGTCTCCAAACAAGGTAGGTAACAGGAATATCAGTTTTTCAGTAGATACTTACTGTACAGTAGTTCCTTTGAGACAGACTTACTAAGAGGCTTATCCTTGTCAAACACATTTTTTTATTTGAAGCCTTAGCCAATTCATAGATATACATAGAAGATGAGACATAAGCAAGGAAAAGTGAACTAAAATATTTATGCTTCTAGAATGGTAAGTTCAGGAAGGATATAACTAATGTAAGTGTAGAGAGTTACTGCTGAGCTCAGATCTTGAGGTATTAGTAAGCTGAGAATCATCATCGTTTTAGAGCAATTTTCCACTTGCCTGGGTTAGCTGTGGTTACCTGATGGCAGCTCTCCGTGCTTCATGACCTGTTGCAGCCTCTCTCATCAGGTTCCTAACTCTAATGTCATTTCTTACAACCTTTCTCAATGTCATTCTTGGCCTTCCCCCTGAGTCTCCTCCCCTCATGGTTTCAAATACATATGTCCATAAAATGTCAGTCAAGCAGATGACAGGAGGGGCAGGTAACCTCTCTCTCTGTCAAGTATTGGCAGTTTTCCTTTCTCATAAAATCCAATCATAAATAGATGTATAAAGTGTGGTTGGCCAACTTGCCTATTGGGATTGTGTTTGGAAAATGGTACCTATCAAGTAAAGCAGGAAACAATTGACAAGTTTAAAAAGTAATAGTAGAACTGTTCACTTGGCGAGTGATGGTACTGTAGTCGATGGTGGTGGAACCTGTTGCTGATTTTACAGTTGTTTTAAGTTGAATACTGACATATTCGTGTGTTTGGATATAACAGTATAAGTATTAATATGTTGTACAGTAAAAGCTTAGTGATCCAGCATGGATGGGGATGGGAGGAACCAGTTAATAACAAAAAAATCCAATTAACCAAAGGAATATAATACAGGCATAGTACTACCCCATCAAGAAGTAGTAGAAGCTGTGTAGTACTCTCTTTTCTTGGGGTTTTTATATAATATAATTGTATAGTTATATTTAATATGGGTAGTCATTGTACATCACTTAAAAATACAGCTTGAAATGCACTTGAAGCAAAACTGTACAGTACAGTATTGTGAAAAAATAGACTGGGCATTTTTATAGGTACATGAAGATAAAGCTTGCCAAACTTATGTGCCAGATAATAAAGCTTTAACTGTGCTGTGTATAAAAAGTTTGGCTCGTATTGAATGTTTTACAGTCTCACAGCATCTGGTAACTCACTTCTGCCCGTCGACCTCAAAATAAGTTTGGCATCCTTTTACGAGCCCTGTAGTTACTATAAGAAACACTGGGATGCTACAGAACTTTATGAATTAATAGCATCCTATAAGAGTATTGTCACCATATGTCAGGATTTTACAGAAAATTGTCATGCAGTAATCCCTCTTCAGTGCATATTTACTCTACATTCCCAAATTTGGAATCCCTCGACTTTGGAACATTTTGGTGGTTTTGAATTCTAATACAGTATTGAAGTCTCTATTGTTTGGTAATACTACAATATTCTAAATTAGAAGAAATACTGTATTAAAAAAATTACCCAGCTAATCCGTTCAATTTCTAACCATTCTCACTGTTTGTTTAACAGATCATAATCATTATCATCAGTTATTTTTATTCTATTGATTGTTAGTGGCGATTGAAATACATCATTGAGCAACATGTGCTGTTTGGGTATTTTGTAATTCTTGCATTTAGGTTCAAGAATATACACTCATGTTTGAAGATAAATACTTGTACAGTATGTGTGTGTGTAAGTGAGCGCGTCTAGTTTCTTTACGCCATTTGCCTCTGTCTACGCCAGTAGTAATTGGGGACCTGGATTTTAATCTATTTGCGGATCGTGCACTGGGGTAATGGTTAGCCAGTGCAGTTGGCGAGCTGTCCGGTCTTCTCGGACTATTCCTTGACACTGGGTCATGCAGCTCGTTAACTGAGTGTGTGGTTGTTGTGTTGGTGACAGCTTCTACACCTTAAAACAAATTCGCGCCTAGGTGGCCCTTGGGTCGGCCATCCTCGTTACTCGAGGGGCAACCAATATTATGTGTGTGTGCGTGCATGTGTGCGTGTATTTATGACACCTCGTACCTACATAAATTACAGTCTCACCCAGCATTGTTGACTTGTGACTCTTTGTTCAAACACTTATTTGCAAATTCTCCTTCACTTTTTGTGGTATACTGTATATGAGTACAGAGTACTGTATACTGTACAGTAATCTCTCTATTAGTCTGCATTTTCAATCCCCAGAACTCTCCATAACCTGAAAAAAATTTAACGTTCCAAGAAATTCCTGGAAAAAATCTCTCCAATCCTGGTATTCAAATGAATTTTAAAGAGATTGCATCAGTGCACACCTAGAAATTTCAGGGAAAAGCTTTCCGTTCCCGACATTCAAACGAATTTCTGAAAGAATGCATCATGCTCTTACATGTGTTAGGCACGTAGGTGGGTAGGCTCAGTACTCGTGAGCTATGATTGGCTACTTCTGCACTTGTACTGTCATATGGCTGCATGGGATGCCTATGATTGGCTGATGTATTTCACAGCCTATCTGCTCAAACTCTAGCATCATGCTTGCTCACTGCTGTTTTCACATACAATCTGCATTATGCAGTACTGAACTGTACCAGGATATAATCAGTCACAGCACAGTGGGCAGTGTATGTACAGTATACATTGCATGTACAATCCCCGTATCGTGGATGGAAAAAAGAGTGACAGTTAGTAATACCTGCTATAGTAGATGGCACAGGACAAAGGCAGGCCATCCTGTATCATCATATCACCATTTGGCCTGCCTGCATCACAAGCTCAAGATGACAGCATCTGCTGGTGAGTATACTATAGAGTTTACACTAGTATATTTGGTTATTTACAATATACTGTATTGTATGTGTACAGTAGTGTTGGCATAAATAAAATATAGCTCTGAGTTTGCCCAACTGCAGTCTGATGCGGAAAGATTCACCAGTACCCACAAAAATTCCTGGAATGTACGATTTTTTCCGTGATAAGAAGATTTGTCTCAAGCCCAGAACTGCTTTGCACCAACTATTCCAGCTAATAGGGAGATTATTGTACAGTATTCAGAAATCTTAAGCCCACAATACTTCAGCTTATGTTGGGATAAGTTTCTGTTTATCATGTTACAATGTATTTTAACACCTATAAAAATGTTTGAGATATACAAGGTCTCATGGATAACTGTTTACTGTGTTGTGGTCACTATCATAATAACCAGCTTTAACCCCACACATGAGAGAGTGGGTCAGGCTTATTGTACCTTTTCTTGGTGAATGGCTTTACTTAGTATTTCTATAGTCTTACTTAAACTGCCTCAGGATCAAGTACCCACAAACCCTCAGGCCCAGTCATAACCAGTAATTGAAGAGTTAAAATGGAGGAGATACAGTAGTGAGAAGGTAGGGAATGTGACACAAGTAATGGTCAAAAGTAGAAGTATTTACTGATGTTAGAGACTAAATATTAATTTGATGTTGAGTATTAAGGTTGTTTTTCTCTTACATTATAATTATAGTACTGTAATTCCTCCCCCCCCTTCTCTCTCTCTCTCTCTCTCTCTTTCTCTCTCTCTCTCTCTCTTATTTAGTACATTTTAATTTGTTTAAATCTCTCTTCTCTTATGATTTCAAAAACCTCACTTCACTGTAATACGTAATTATAACTTCACGTACGACTTGGCCATAAAAATGTATAACAATTGGGATGTGATTATCACCAGAATATTCCTTCTCTAGGTTGTAGAGGTACAGTTTCTGCATCCCTTTGTCTGTGTCTTCAAATTTGTGAACATGATAACTCAAACAAAGAGACTTTGAGAGTGGTCGACTTTTGGATAAATTGTACAGTACAGTACAGTACTGTAATCCAGCATAATCTCAGATGAGTTCACAGCATTTATTGGTTGTTTTTGTGTGTTTTGTTGTGGAATGTAGGAAAACCATTTAGGAGCTTCAACACTGTTGAGTAGGGTTGTATAGCACAGTATTGTATTGTTTAATGAAAATGTTAAGATAATTGATGAGTTTATGGATTAGACTTATTCGGATCTGACTCTGCTTAGCTAAGTTAACCATGGGGTTGGTGTAACCATCCCTGAACCTACAGCATAACCATATGGCTCTTAGCAGTAAGGGCTAACCTTAATGCCTTGCCCTAGGTGAGCATCCTGGAGGGAAGACTTACACCTGTCACAACAGCTTATTCTAATTTTTGTTTTATTGTTCACATGTTTCGGTGCAAAATTGGTAGTTCAAGTACTGTAATCAGTGTCTATATGAGAATCTGTGATGTGCACAGGTAACTCAATATAGAAAAAATTCTCCTGTTTACATTGACCAGTTTACAGAATGTTGTGTAATTATGATCTATACTGTACACTAGACAACAGCCATTAATAAATTTATTCTTAAATTTCCTCTGAAAGAAAAAGGACAATCACAATATATATCTGCATCCAGCCTGCGTCAAAACTAATGAGGGGACTCAGTGGATGACATAACAACTGTTTCACCAAAGTTCATGGAGCCAGAACTGTGGTATTTGCTGCATTGGTTATACACAAGTTCTAAGCAGTGTTCCCACTTTTTTAACACAACTGCCTCTCCTCGACAAGTATTCGGTAGGGAATTAGATGGGGAAACATATATAGAGAGGAATGATTACAAAGGGAAACAAACCGATAATGATGGAGAAATGGAAAAGCAATATAGTTTCTGAAAAAAAATAGTAACCGAAAGTGTATCGGGCGATTAAACAGTCATGTACTTTAAGATAAGATTTATTTATGCAGAGTTCTTAAAGAGATCATGGATAAAAACAAGTATTTCTTCAATAGTGTTTTTTTTTAGTACTGTGAGTTTGTTGCTAGGAGTTAAGGGAATGTTGTCTAAAGTCAGCTTACATTCAGCAGATTGTTGTCCAGCGGGTCAGTATGGGCGGTGTTTCCCCCCTGAAGAGCCCCAGTAAGTTGATCCCTGTATCTATGGCTTCCAAGTCACCCACCAAAATTGCCCCGGCCCCACCCATCGGACAGCAGCAGGTGGGTCGTTACTGAAGAAGGGGAAAGGGGGCGCTTATACCACTTCTTGGAATGGGGGTAACTTGAAAACAGGATGGATAGTGGATTGTCTTCTCCATGCTTGAGTTTTTCATGTTGTTGGGCGAAATTATGTTTGAGAAATTGTGGCTCCCAGACATGTTCAATATAAACCCTAAAGGCTTCATTTAATTAATCCACCACTTACGGGCCTCTTCAAACTAAATTACACGTGAATTACTTGTTCTTTTCTAATCACTAATGCTTTTTTTCTTCTCAGTGCTGTACCTTGTCTTGTTGCTCTCACTGTCTTGTCTTCTTGTAATGTTTTCTTCCTTAGTTTCTTCTCTATTTGGGTCTTTTTTCTCTTTTTATTTTCTTCTCTTTGTCTTCTGTATCTCCCTCATAGTTCCTCACCACTTCATCTCTCACTCCCTCATTCCTCCATGCTGTACCCCCTCCTCCTTCTCTTCCCCCACCTCTCTTTTTTATTCTCCTACGTCTAATTTATTTTTTCCCTCATTGTTTGTGAAGGGGATTTTTTTAACCTTGTACTGGGTAGTGAGTATTTTTTTGTGTTTCGTCCTTATACTCGACCAATATAGTAAAACCTCCATGTAACGGATGTCTATCTCCATATATAATCCATTTGATGGGGGTTTCACATCTAAGGGACCCTCGATATTATGGACTTTCATATCTGTATAGTTCGTTAGATGGAGGTTTCACAACTAATGGACCCTCAATATAATGGACTTTCCTCTCCATATAGTCCATTAAATAGAGGTTTGGCTGTACAGTATTGTGTTACTGTTTCTGCATTTCAGCCAATCAGTTTAATTGTCATCTGTGTTCAATATTCAGTACAGTATGATCTTTTCTGTGATAGTGTAGAGTAAATAATGGTAACAAATTTCTCTGTTTTAGATGTATTTTCATTATACATGGTCTCTTGGAGGGGGGGGGGGTCTAAATGATAACTGTATTTTAGGACGTGCAATAAGCAGGGAACCAATAACTTGTGATCATATAATTGCAAATAAAATTAATATTCTTGGCAATGATCAGACTTCATCCCAACTGGATTTTTTAGGCTCCTGTTTATTGCACATAGTACTAAAATACAGTAATTATTTAGGGTTCTCGGATAAAATAATGACCCTGTAGTGTTCATTTTGTACATACTGTACTGTATATTTCTTTAGTGTTTTACCTTATCCAGGGCTGTAAAGTTATAGTAAATAACAACTTGTATCAACAGAGTGGAAAATGTATACAGTATATAATATTTTCAGCACATTGTTGGTTCGTAAGTTAACAAATGATCTTTATTTTTACAGATTATAACACACCAGATAAGTAGTGGGGGTGCAGTTCGAAATATATTAAATAGCCCACAAAAAATAGTCATCAAAAGCAACGTACCTCAGCCAGGCCAGGTGAGAAATATATACCTTCATGTTATCTGTATATGATTAGTACTGTTTATATGTATGTACTGTAGGTAATTATCTCCATCTTACCTGTACAGTATATGATTGGTACTGTTTATGTGTATGTACTGTATTCATAATGTCTCTTTCATCCTTGTATCTTTAACTGTGTTAAATCTTTCCATTAGCCATCCGATCTGACATCCTTCCTTCCTTCCTTCCTTCCTTCCCTCGGTGAAATTTTTGAAGAGTGTACAAGTTTTAATGGGAACTGGCGACCACAAATCAAATGTTGTCTGGTGAATAGTATTTGTACAACTTTGAATCAACTGGGTGTGAAAGGCTACTCATAGTGAAATGTGAAGTGGTCGCCAAATCTGCTAAGATAATACTCCCACCGATGACATAAAAGCATCTTTGGTGGTCACGATATCTCACAGGTCACACGTTGCTGCCCAATGGTCATAATATGGGGTTTTATACTCGAGTCCTTCATATAAAAACAGAAAATAAATGACAAAGTAAAGTACCTGTGCATTAATTGAGGATTCAGTTAGGTAACCCAGAAACAATTGGCATTATAATGGTGGAAATGCTCTATGAAATAAATAAATGAATGAATAAATTATAATGTCTTTGAATTTAATTGAATGTTTCACTTACTTCCAGGGGACAGTGAGTACGGTCAGAACTGGTCAGCTTGTAACATCTGGAGGACAACAGGTTATTAAGATCCCAGCAAGTCAAGTCCAGCAGCTTACAGGTCAACCCCAAGTTCTCTCTAATAAGGTCAGTTATATGAAGCTATTGTTGTCTTTGTTCCTCATTATTCTTTTATGTCATGTATTACAACCAAATGTGTTAATCCACTACCCTGTATTTTTTCAGTTTTGTCTAATTTTCTCTGGTATATGTTGCATTTGTGTGTGTGTGTGTGGGGGGGGGGGGGCTTGGCCTTTATATTGGTTTATCAAAATAAATGAAACATTTGATAAATCATACAGTGCTGCTGGGGGAAGAGAGTACAATAATACAGATTTGCTCAGATACAGGTACAGTACAGCATTTTATTGCATAGATATTTATTTTTCCACAAAGACCTTGATATATGATTTAATTTCTACTTTGTACTTGTACCATTATTATTTTTTTTATACTGAAAGCTGAATTATTGAGACTGATGTAAAGGTTGTAAAGGTAAGAAGCATTGATCCTGGATGCAAGAGGAGGAAGCATGTTGGAAGCAGTGGAAATGATGTGAATGACAGCAATGTATGGGGTGAATAAGAGGGCAGGGATGAGAAACACCTATTCACAATGATTGGTTGTGAGAGTAAAAGGGGAGTTTTGGACAGAGAACATAACCAGAGTTTGCTTAGGTTGTGTGGGCATACTGAGAGAATGAGAAGCAAGAGATTAGTAAAAAAGAAGGAAAATCAGAAATAGCTGTTAGGAGAGAGCAAGAGAGAGAAAGGAGGGGGAGAATAGAGCATGATGTGGAAAGATGAGGTGAGGGAAATACTTAATAAAAGACTGAACACTGAACAACCAGGACACAATACTGTACTGTTTTATGACCAGCACCATGGGGTGGGGGGATGTATACGGTGCTGATGTGTGGTACTGTAATGTATTGTACAAAGTGATAGAGATAAACTAAATGGGTATCTAGAAGCTGTGTTATGGAAAGTGAATACCACAGCAAGTCACACAGGGTTAAGTAGTGAGGGAAATTGAGTGAGACTGAGAAAACATAGTCTTATTTTATCATAATTCCCACTAGCAAGAGCCATAGTGTAAAAGAAATTTGCATGAGTGTATAAAGTGATATTGTATTATGACATGGTATTTTTTATTTATTTTTTTGCTCACTTATTTACATTTACAGATGAATTATGTACGACTCGTAAATTCCGGTGTGGGAGGCAGCGGGGGTGGTGGGGGAGGGACCACACTCATACGACCGACACCCCCGGCCAACAAACCCATCGCTCCGGCTGCTTCACAACCCATCAAGATAAAAGCAATGCCTATCGCTCCCAACCAGCAGGCAAGTTTTATGTGTGTACGTCTCTCTCTCTTTTATTTTTTATTTTTATTTGACAACAGCGACTGAAAAAATGTTACAACCCTTTAAAAGTAATTGTGTGAATATGTTACAAGAATAGATCCATTAGTGCCAGAAATGGAGTTATGTTACCATTTTTTTTTAATATGAACAGTGAAGTCTTCCATAGTTTAGCTTATACAACAGTCGTGATGTAAATGTGGAATAATTCTCTTGCAGACAAATAAACAGAGGGTCATCATCCCAGTGTCGGGCTCAGTGTCAACGGCTAGTATGGGAGGTGGAGTTCCCATCCGCCCCCAAACCAACCTCACCTTACCGGCTTCTGCTCTTCCCCCCGGGGTTCTCTCCAATACTCAACCCGGCTCCGTTGTCATGATTCCCGCTCATTATATGTCTCAGGTATTGCTCATAACTGTTTACTTAATATAAGGGCGGTTGTGGTGTGTGTGTGATTATCATTAAGGATATGTTGGTGATAAAAATGCATTTTTTTTTTTAGTTTAGTTTATTTACTGTAGGTACTATGTAAACCTTTTGTATTTCATTTCTCATTGAAGGTCAGATATCTTATTCATTACAGAAGTTCATCTTTAAAGCAGTGGATGTGAAGTGAAGGATTCATGGCTTTGGAGATCATATATAAACTGTTTGGCTAAATGGTGATATCTGTTTAAATATATTTAATATATAAATGGCTATTAATTTTTTAAGTTTGATGTATATGGTAAGATAGTTATCTTAATTCCTTGTTCTGGAAAGTCTGATAAGTGTTCAAAAGTTTTTCTTATTCTTATTATATACCAAGAATAATTTTTAAACAATTTTAAGTTATGTGTCAAATTAAATCCTGAATTGTGGCTCTAAGTATACCACAGTTTAGCCACTTTGTCAAAGGTTTTAACTAAATAGAAAAATGCACTATATTCAAGATTTTAGATAACTATTTGCTCACTCTTCTACAGCTCCAGTCCAGCACATCAAATAACACAACAGTCCAGCTGTCGAACCAACCTCCCCCTGGTACCATAATCCCACAGCCACCCAAACCACAACCAACCCGCACTGTAATAGACGCCAATGGAATCAGACCCAGAAAGCCCTGCAACTGTACAAAAAGCCAGTGTCTTAAATTGTAAGTTTGGTTGAATGTTTTGTGAATATATGTCTAAATATGTAGTGTAGTGTAATCATTAATGTAAGGAAATACACACACACACACACGCACACGCACACACACACACACACACACACACACACACACACACACACACACACACGTGCACCACTAGAAGTAATGTAAGTGTTTTCTTGTCCCCAGATACTGTGATTGTTTTGCAAATGGAGAGTTTTGCAATAACTGTAACTGTGCAAACTGCTTCAACAATCTAAACCACGAGGAAGACAGACAGAAGGCCATTAAGGCGTGTCTAGACAGAAACCCTCAGGCTTTCCGCCCTAAGATCGGCAAGGGAGGCAACGACAACGAGAGGAGACATAACAAAGGTTGCAACTGTAAACGATCGGGATGCCTTAAAAATTACTGTGAATGCTATGAGGTAAGTTTCCCTTTGTCCCTTGATTAAGTTTGAGTAATTTCCTTTACACTATTAGTTTGTCAAGGAGATAGGTACCTGTGAGTCTGGAACCAGTAGTATTGTTCTATGTTTGTTTGTTTTTTTCACTTTTCTGTCAGAACTGTGACTTTGAGATCTTTCTACCTATAGGGTTGCCATTTCATTCACTTGGAAATGGTTTGGTCATCAATAACTTAAATGTGTATATCCTATTGGTATATTAGTAAGCCTCTTCCATATAATGATATAGTATATAAATAATGCTTTAGATACTAAGAGTTAAATTTTTTTTCTAGGCCAAGATACCATGTTCTAATATGTGTAAATGTGTCGGCTGCAAAAACGTTGACATGAATCCTGCAGTAGAGCGGAAAGGGTTGATGCAGCTGGCGGAGTGTGCAGAAGCCAGAGTAAATCAACAGAAGGCTGTCAGGTCAAAACTTCCCTCCTTTTCTCATCACTCTCCTACAAAAATGCTTTTACCTACATCAACAAAGTAAGTCTGTGTGTTTCTCTGTGTGTTGATCCATTGTTTCTTTGTTTTGAATGTTGTCTTCATAGTTTATTGGGAATGTTATTTAAATTTTTAGTCGTTCACCCTTCAGATGTGGAAGGTATCCCTAAGGTGAATAAATTCATCTGTCAGTAGCCAGAATAAAATGCTAAAGTGCGGGAATCATGTCGGAAAGCTTAAGTCTTTTTTTTCCACTATAAAACAGGGTAGTCAGAATCAAGAGCATCACAGTCTCTCACTTAGTATACTGTATTAGATGTGCTCTTACTTTATAAACAAATGTGTTTTTTGTGCCATTCCTCTCCACAACAAGGTTCCTAATGATAATCTGGATATCTTTTGAATTCTTGCTTGAAAGTGTCTGTCCTCTTCTCCCTTAATACTATCTAGTTATGTGTCTTTATAACTGCTCCAATAGATCTAGTGACTCATACTTGCATTGACAAGTTAGTGGGTTTTGGGGGAGGCATATTTATGACTTCAAGGTAAAGGCAGGGAAGGATTTACCAAGACTTCCTATTGGCCTCAGCTTAGTTCCTGCAGAGACTCTGGAGAGATTCTGTCTGTTTGGTCCCTGAGAGCCCTGAAGTTTAACTCACATGTACAGTTGCCTGTCCTTAGACCTGATGCAGTGACTGGCATGTTTTGTGAAATGTGGCACCTCTGTGTTTGTTTACATCATATTAAAACTCCCAGAATGGTCCTAGGGAACCTCACAATAGTAACCAGACTAAGGATGCTAGATAAGCATTCCACAGACTTGCCACATCTCACAAAACACACCAGCTACTAAACATGAGGTGCTCTATTAATATTACTTATTCAGTGGAAATTCGTGATCAGTTTCTCATTTTAAGTTTTATTATTTTCCTATACTGTACCAATATTTCAGTAATATTTATTAAATTAAATCATAAAATTTAATATGAATTTTTCATAATATTACATGTAATTCTTCTTGTTAGATCTGGCTACTGTCGCATGAACCAAGAAGTGGTTGAGGCAACATGTCAGTGTCTATTAGCCCAGGCAGATGAAGCAGAGAGCGCCCTAGTGTCTGAGGCACAGTTAGAACAGACAGTCATTGCAGAATTTTCCCGATGCCTCATGCAAATCATTGGCAGCTATACGTCACGGTCTAGAGGTAAATTATTTGTTTAGTTTAAAATTTATTCTCTTTTTAATTGCTTCTTATTTGAAGGATAGTCCACAGACAGTGTGGATATGCCTAATTAGGGAAGACCAATGTCTGCCTTGTGGTATGTCATTTCCTTAATACCTTACATTATTTCAAATAAAAGTGTATTAGAAAGCAAGATGTAATTGATGCACACAATGTTACGTAAACATGAATTTCCTTCATTTACTTGTGTATGACTAGACTACATGTTTTTAAATATCTTCAGAAGAAATTTATGAGGCCAATTGGTCATAATGTTTCAATTACCTCTCACAAGAAAAAAGTGAAAAGCATTGAAATGAGAACCAGACATCAAATTTTATCAACATGTTTGCATCAGTGAAAACCATTAAGAATACAGTGGTCCCTCAGTTAACAAGCGCCTCGGTTAACGAGATTTCGGTTAACGAGTTACCTTCCACAAGATTCTTAACTTCGGTTAACGAGCAATCCCTCGATTAACGAGTTTCTTACGAGCCGACCTCAACATGTTTTTACTTGTATTTGGCGGTCCACCAGCTGCAGTATTAGTCCGCCAATACAGTAATCTGTTCTAGGGCTTATATTCCTTATCATTTTAGTAAATATCAAGAAGTTTATACTATTCAACAATTTTAAAAGTTTAATATTCAATTTTTTAGTCATTTTAACAATTATTGAACATAATTGAAGGTAAGGAAACTAGTTTTATGCGCGCCATCCAGCCTGTCAATGCACCAAACAGGCTCCAGTCTCTGTCTTTTCAGTGGAGGTAACATCTTGCTTGAGACTCTCTTCAACTAAACACTTTTTTTCTGTGTTTGCAAGCAAATTATTGGTCATTTTGAATTTTATTTTACATATTGACAATATATAATGCAGTGCAGTGTTGATTTAAAGAAAATAATCTTGAATTACACCAAGAGAACTAAAATTTTATGGGTGAAATGGCGCCATGGGGTGACTTCTCTTCTCCCTTCTCCTCCACCCCCATTCTAATTCCCATCATCATCATCATCCAGGAGCCTTCTACATACACACCTCAAAGTAAGTGTACTTTTCTACCTTTTTTGTTGAATTTAGGCAATATTCGGTGAGCTGGAACCAATTACCCAAAAACCCATTGAAACAATGGTTTCGGTTAACGAGTTTTTCGGTTAACAAGCAACCATCTAGAACGGATTGTGCTCGTTAACCGAGGGACCACTGTATCACAGGCCCAAGTTTATATGCAAGTTGTTTATTGTGAACTGACTAATTGACAGTTAACAGTTAAGGGTTCATTATTAGTGGCTCAGTAAAATTAAATGGTGGGTGTGCCAGTGTGGTTAAAGACATACAAACTGTGAGAGAACCAGCTCCAAAACCCAGGTGTTCAGCGCAGTATATTGGCAAAGTGATTGCATTATATTCGTGAGACCTTATCAAATAATCACATACAGTATATCACCTCTTCAGAGTCGCTGTAGTTAGTTATCAGGAGTACTACTCTATATGAAACCATTTTTTACTCTTGTTTTTAGTTCAAGAATGTTTAAATGAGATTCAGAGAGATAAGTGATGCTTTAGATTTGACTAGGTGGTGTATGGGAAGGTAGGAGTAGGTGGAGACTTGGCAATGTTACATAGAGGTGGAGATGAAACGAGTAATTTTCTATCCACACCACAATGTGATTTTTTTTTTTTTAGGCAGATGCCAGCTTACAGTACACTCCCTCCCTACCCAGTTCTTTACTTCCATAACTGTACAATAAGCTAGTAACTGTGTGGCAGCTCTCAATGAATACCATTTTCAAAACATAATATTTTGGTTCCCATGAAGATTAGGAATGCTAAAGGCGACTTGGAGGCGTTACCATTGAGTTAGGTAAATATTGGGGTGTTTTATCGTCAGGTGAAAAAAGCTTGGATGCCAAATCTTTGGGTAATCCAAAAGGAATGTATTGATTTGGGGTGTTTTTGTGAGCTAGTGCGATTGTGAAGTTGTGAGCTAGTGCGATTGTGAGGTTGTAAGCTAGTGCGATTGTGAGCTAGTGAGGTTGAGAGACATTAGCTGAAGAATGTTTGTGCATCTTGTAAAAGTTGAGTAATTTCTTGTCGTGGTAATTTCAACATGAATGAATCTGACGACTCACTTTCAGTATGCATTGTGTACTATGAATCTCATGGCTCAGTTTTACTCCATTGTCTCTTTGCTGTACAGAGAACTGTGGCTCTGTTATCACAGCTAGGGGTTCAGGAGTTTGGTTTGGTCAGTACAGGTTGCACTTAAAAAAATCCAAAATGCTTGGAACCAGAGTCATTTCGGATACCTGACTTTTTGGTGAAGTGAAGGTCATTATAAAAAAAAATAATATTTCACCAAGCTCTTAAATAATACACTGTATAATAATTACAGTATTAACAAATATATAATACGTATAACTGAAATTAGACTTAAGTAACATAATAAATAAGGTTAATAATAATAATACAAAACAAGTACAGTTATTTATATATGTACCTACAATTAAAGATTTGGTAGTGTAGGACGGTGTAGGCAACTCAATTTTTTTCCGGATTTTCGAAGTTTTCGGATAACTGATGTTCGGATTTTTGCAGTGCAACCTGGAGTGGGTTTTGCACCAGACCTCAGACCGCTCTTGTTGACTTATGTGCCGGAACTCGCTAATATGTCGGTTGGGTATTTCAAAACTTGAGATTTGCAATTTATTTTGAGTATCTGAATATCCTCACACCATTCTGAAATGTAGTATTTTTACCTATTAATGGATTATAATTTTATATGTGATTTAAATGCATGCAGACTGTAGAGATAAGTTTAGATTAAAAGTTATAGAAGTGTTATCCAGATTTGCCTCAGCACCATTGTAAGCCAGCCATATCTTGTCTTGGGAAATGATGAGCCAGAAATTGAAAAGAATTTAAAGTTCTGTTTATGGTTGAACTGACTACTTAATAAAAGAACTAATTAAATAGATGTCTGAATGGTTTACTGATACTCAGAGTTTGGGGCTTCGACTGTCGCTTACGATACACCTGGCTGTGTTGTGATTGATTGATTGATTGATTTTGACCTCCAGGGGCCTCGATTCAGCCGGTCATGATATAAAAATTGGCACTAAAATTAATTTCTGTTTTATTTTCATTGTTATTTTCAATACATAACAAGTCCTGGAATTTGTGTCTCTGCTTATTTTTTTACAATCTTCTACCAAACCAAGTAGCAGCCAAAGCACCACACAATTTCACCTCACTCTCTGACACCCATGAGCCTCCCTCTCCCCAACACACACATCCAACATGACTACTGTACTTGCAGCACCTTTATGTACTGTATATGCACCATCTCTGTTGATGATGTGAACAATGTTTGTCTTTTTCATCTGTAACCTTCTAATTATATTGAATGAGGGTTCTTCGGGCCAGTAGTGCCTTTTATGTGCGAGATAACTTTTGTTTTTGATCTTTGGGTCCAAACATATGTACATTTATGGATAAAAGTTCACTCCTTGTGGTGAAACTGAATCATAGGAATGAGTCTCTGAACTTACCCTGACTGTCATCTGGTGCAGTTGTGCAATTATTTTTCATTTGGGGTCGATACTGCTTCATTTGGGGAGGGAGCGAACTTTTGACCATGACTGTACCTGGCATTCTGGGTTCACGATCAAAGGGTCTGGTACACCCAATACATATATAATGTGTCCTTCTCTCATAAGTGTTACCAAAAAAATTACCAATCCTTACTTTCCAGCAAAATTTAATCTGACAAAAAAAATGGTTAGGAATATTGTTGTGTTAAGAACGTTTAATGCAGGAAAGAATGTAGTAACATCGATTATCTTGGTTTAAGACGATAAAGTTTGTGTGTAATTTCCCCTCCCAAAACTTCATCCCCAGACAAGTGATATAATACAATATATTATGATACTCAAGGCAAACCCGACATCGATTACTTTCAAACAATTTATTTATTTTTTTCAATTTACTGGTACTGTATTTTTTTTTCTTTTATTTGTTGATTAATGTTGTTACCTGTTAGGGACATGTGAATCACTGTTCAAGGATTACTGTTGTGTAGATGCCAGCTGCTACTAGAGTGATCAATAAATTATACTTGTAGAAACTTAAATCTTGATTTTGGGGGGAATTTTTATTTTTAATTATTTTTACTATTATATTCAATTTCCTGATGCTCAGAGCGTGGGGTCCTACAGTGACACTTGGCGATGGAACAGTTGATAAAAGAATATTCTGTTCCGTAATATGTTATCCTTGTAACCAGCCTGATGTAAAAAGTTAGAATCCTGGCTGTTTAGTTATTTCTCACACATATACAGTACAGGTACATACACAACTTATAATGGAACTCAGATGTGTATTGCATCTATTTTGGCTCTCTCGTGCAAGACTAAACAGCCATACTCCACACAAGTTATCCACACCATCTAGTAGCCACACCCCTCCCTCCCCAACACACAAGTTCACCATGACTCCTGCAACCCTTTATGTACAGTGGTCCCTCCATTAACGAGCACAATTGGTTCCACAGAGTCACTCGTTAACTGAATATTATTTCAATGGGATATTGGTTCCAACTCACAAGTACTGTATACCGGTAATAGAATTTATATAAACAAAATACAGTACTGTTGGAATGGAATCACCTTTCATTTGTTTTTCTTTAACCCAAATAAGAAGTAACCTCTCCGTTTCTGCAATCAGAGATCTACCTTTAAACATTCTGGTAAATTTATCTCTCACGTTCACTGATTTAAATCTGTCTTTCTGTGCATTAATTGTGCATAATGTGTTGTTTAATGGTAGACCCTGCTGCCATATGGTATCACAAAAATTGTGACCAAGTCCTAGGTTGCTGATCTGACTTTCTGCCACATTTACACACAATTGTAGGGTTTCAATTGTTTCTCTTACTTTGACGAGACAACATACATAATGTACGTACAGGTATATCGTTTCTCATTCTTGATTTATTTTATTGTTTTTGTATTGATTTATGGTTATTATTATTATTTTTGTTATGTTTTTTATTAATTTTTATTAATTATTATAATAATAATGATATTTATTATTATTATTATTATATTTTTGCCCCCCAGGCCCTGATGTGGGTCAGTGACCTGTGCCCAGGTTGGCTAATTCCCGAAAAAAAAGACACAGTCGATGACGACTTGCCATATTCTTTATAGAGTTCATTGGTTCTAATGCCTTCTTCGGATTTCTTTATAATTTCTTGTTTCACTTGAATTGAAATTGCCTTCCAAGGTTTCTTCTGACCCATGCTTGATAATTTCACCAATAAAATTTTAAGTTCACAACAATTTATTTATATAATTCCAGATTGTTTTTTATTTAAACCAACACAGCACTGTATATTATCAATATGTTAACTAAATTACAGAATGACCAATAATTTTAATGTAAAAATGCAAATATATTCAAGAGCACAACTTTATCGACGTTTACTCCACTTGAAACAAAGCTAAGCAGAGTACCGATTTTTGGCAGACGAGTCAATCAGTGGACCCTCTCTCTCTATATATATATCCTAGTCCTCTAATTTGTGATTACTGTACAAAAATTATTTTTTACACAGTATACCCACCTCTCGTTTTACGCAGGGGTTATGTTCTTGAAAAACACCGCTTAATTAAAAAATGCGTAGGTTAAACATAATTTTCCCATAAGAATACAGGTTAGGGGAACCATCATATACCACACAGTGTATGAACAGTGCTCTCACTTAAACCAAGCACACGGCCAACCTCCGACACACGCTCTCCTCTCTGAAGGCGGGTGATCACATTTAATTTCACGTCCATTGCGATTGTTTTTCGTGCCTTTTTAGCTTTAGGCACCCCAGAGTAGGCAGATGGACGTTTTCCAAACATGCTCATTGTGGGAAATAGTGTTTAACACTAAAAAGGTACGTGATAAACACACAATGCAAATGAAAGCAGAGAGAAAAAGTAGTGCTGGTGTGAACTGAGAAAGTGATACGCAGGAAGCTTGCTGGACGTGGTCGCAGTTGTTGTACAGAATACTGTACTTCATTATCATCATTATCTTCATCATTAGTAGTAATAATCTTTATTACATTATTATAATTATTATTATTAATAATAATATTAAAATCGCTGATGTTATGACAGCAACTTTATAGTAATAACTTATAAGCACCTCACCAGGCATCACATGCGACTCCACTGCCAGGCGACCAGGCGAATGCACGCGGCAAATTTAAACTTTCTTGACCGCTTTTTTTTTTTTTAAAAATAGGTGCGCGTAAATTAGCTTTTGGTATTAATTGAACAATCGTGTCATTCCAAAAACGCTTAAATCAAACGTGCGTAAAATGCGAGTTACCTGTATTTAAAATAATGTATTTCTTTTGTATCCTTGTACTGTAAATTTGGGCTCACATGGTCAGTGTTAGTTTTTCTTTACATGATAATTTGTATTTACTGTATGGTCTTATGGTCTAAACTTAAGTATCGTACACAGGTGGTATTTTGAGGTCCTGGTCCCAAGGCCCAGTGTATCCATATAATAAGTCACTCTTTAGTTCATAAAATTCACATGTGTACCAAACAGAAGGTTGACAAGTGTCAATGAAAGAGCTTCTCCTGTACTTTAGTTATGCATTGATTTTACTACTGTACTTTATAAGATAGTTTGATGGATACAGTGATGCTCAGTATGTAGTATAATATTTAGTTTTTTTACAACTAAATTCATTGTATTAAGGAGAAGAGTTTTGAAACTACAGTGAGTATAACTAGATTAATGAACTGTGATACAGTGTGTGAAGTATGACTCCAGGTAAAGGGGTTAATAGAAATACAGCATTTTTACAAATTTGTGTAATTAGGTGTTGAAAATATACATCAAAACTGTAACCTAAATATGGGGGGGGGGGGATCTAGTAAGAATATTAATTGATTATAAGTAATACACAAGTACGTATAGTTCAGTGTTAAACATCTCGACCTGCACAGAGACAACAAAATTCACATGAACAGTATTTTGGATACTCGGTGGTTTTATTTTTATTTTTTCTAAACATTGTAAAGATAAGACATTAGGAACTTATGGTAATAGTACTAGCCCTTAAGGTTTAAACTCTCCATGTACTGTAATTCATTAAGGAAATTATAAATTAATTTTCACCTGACATATATATATTTTTTTTTTCAGGACTGGGAGACACGTAGCATGAGAAGGGAGGTGTAGTAGTGATGTATAATAGATTTTAACAAGTCATGTACATAGATTAAAATTAAAGAAATATATATTTTCAAGTTTCTGCATCTAGCTGGGGGATATGCTTGGCGTGCGTGTGTGTCATGAGGACGTAGCCATCATTCAGATGATGTATTTGACAATGAAGTGAACTTTACATGTTGTGTAAAACTATTGTTACGGAAACTGAGCAATTAAGAAGGCAAGTGTCTTAAGTTCCTTTACTTTAACTTTTATTTTAATCTCAAAATTTTAATGATTTCTTTACCTGCGTGTGTCTAGGGGCTTTTGGATTAAAATTATTTAGTTATAATACCTTGTAATACTCATGCCCAATTATGTAACAAATTACAATCTGTTTGTATTGTGAACTTTTCTTCCTCCTCTTAATCCTCCATAGGTTCTCCTTCAAGCAGCAGCCTTATATGCTAGAGGCAAAGGCATTTTACCTCTTCTTTCAAAGACCTGATAGTCATGGCTGGGGGATCTTCGTTGATGTAGTTGTGGTTAACTATCATACGAGCTTGCTGTGCATAGCGAAGGGTTGACAGAGTTTCCTCCAAATAATCATTACAAGGGGAGACTGTGGCGATCATTGCAGTCCGAGAGTTACCTCCCAGAGACTCTTTTGATAAATATGTCAGTGCTGATTTCCTGTAAAGAAAGAGTGGCCTTTGTTGTCCTGCACTCTTTGCAAGGTATGTGATTACCTTCCCAAGGCGTGAAAGTGATTTGTTTATACAAACTCCTTCCTGTGGCTGTGCAGCTGCCACATACCCACTCCCTGCCAGGTCCACCAGATTTATAATGTTCACCTTGCTACTCTCCAAGTGCTCACCCTCAACTGAGTGAGTTTGATGATGAAGACAGCGTGAGATTGAGAAGATTTGGCAGCGATGGTGCGCTTTTTATTTCCTAGTATAAGCCATGTCTGTAGGTGGTCATACGATGAGCAACACCCTTTACATAGGGACCATATGTGTTTTGTGTTGATTTTGTTTTAAGAATATTATATAAAAATCACTTGCATATATTTCATGTCCTACAATTTATACTGTGTTGGGTGCTGTCATGTCAACCATGAGTGTGGTGTCAAAAATTCAATTAAGCCAAGTGATGCTATAATAACTAAACCTACAGTAAAACATAACAACTCTAAAAGTTCACAATACAAACAGATTGTCATTTGTTACGTAATTGGGCAAGAGTATTACAAGGTATTATAACAAAATAATTTCAATCAAAAAGCCCCTAGACACACACAGGTAAAGAAATCATTTAAATTTTGAGATTAAAATAAAAGTTAAAGTAAAGGAACTTAAGACATTTGCCTTCTTAATTGCTCAGTTTCTGTAACACTGCATACTCTTCCAGGTCAGTTTACCAATTTTTCTCTTTTAAAAATCTAAAAAATTAGGTATGATCTTTTGAGTATGGTGATTCAGTTTGGTATATGAGTACGGTAGTTTAGTTTGGTATGTACTGTATTTGAGTATGGTAGCTCAGTTCGGTATTTTAGTACGGTAATTCCCTGATCTGTATTCATTTTATTGATGAAAATGTTGTACATACCGGTACATGGGGTTTTTACACAAATGTCATTACTTAATTAAGGATGAAACACTTGTGTGAAAAGGTTTATCCTCTTTGATAAGTTATTTGTTCAATTGCATCTTATTCAGTCTTCCTACATAGAAGGTTGAGATACTGTATCCATTGCCACAGATGTAATAATAGGGGCATGATGGTAACTTGGAAGGGATCTCTCTCTATTAATTATTCATTGTATGCATATTGTATTGTCATATGCTCATACTGCCTGTGTTGAGTAATGTGAACATCATCTGTAGTTACACAAGAATTTACAATACTGTTACTTTGGGGTTGAAATTTGTATTTAAATCGGGTTGACACGAGCTCATGAAATACCCATGCACGAAATAGTGTTGTGATATGTTCTTATATTAAGGTCATACATCCAGTCCCTTTACCGATGAGATATCAAAGAAATGTAAGATATAGTGATTAATTTGAATTTTATCTTCAGATTTCTAAAGATTATTTTCTGTCTATATTGAAAAAAAAAAAATAGAATTGGTTACTAATATTTCTACAATTACCCGGTATATCAGTAATCACGCTTGTCCAAGAGGCACTACTGCTGTATACAGTTGGCCTCACTCCCTATAGTTGATGCAGGAGCCACTTGTTATTCTAATACTGTATATAAAGTGATTGGCAGTGTTCGAGCTTCGGTTAATGCTTTGAACATATTTATTTGTTTTTGCTGTCATTGAGTAAAGAATATTTGGTGATATAGTATAGCAGTGTATTAAAAAAAATGTTCCTCTCATGGAGCAGATGTTAATGACTGCATTTTACTCTTGTTATTTAATGCTAGATTGAAAATGAACTTATTAGGCATTTTTTTTGTGTTGATCTTCCAGTTCAAGATTTGTTCAGTTTACAAAAACATTAAAGGCAAATAATTTTAATCCCTTTATACAAAAATTAGAACCAAAAGTCTTTATTGCCATTATCCAGAGAGAATGTTACCAAGAGTTGCAGTAACACAGAAACTGTACCATAGCACTAAATGGCATAAAAGCTCCAAGAGTCAGTGGTAGCAAACCTAGAAAACGTTTTTATGTATTCAAACATTTTATTCAGACTAGATTGATATAGTTTACATTTTGACGCCTAATGAGAGAGTTTTTTGTTTTTATATTTCTTTCAGAGATTTATTATTATTTCTCATATTTCATTTCCATTCCTTACAAATGTACTTGTGACACGATTAGCGAAAATATCTTGCACGCATTTTTTCACTCCGGTATTCACTGTCATTTGAAGCACATTTGATTACATTTGGCCCACAATGCAAGATATGATTTTCTAGTCATTTCACACATATATATACCGTACCGTGTTGCTTTTAAAGGTCTGCATCCCCCCCCCCCCCTTGTTATTTTGTTTTGCTGCTCCATTCAAAAGTGCAATAAGCTACATAGATATCTTTGGAATCCTTTATGACGATGGCCTTTGTCTCTGTATGTTAAAGTGTGGTATGACACATCACTCGCTTAGATTTTTTTTTTTTTTTTATACATATGTGAATAAAATCATTGTGTTTATACTGTCACTAGTTTTACAATAACATGTGGCTGCTTACAGAGCGAATGAAAAGAACTTTATAATCCAAGATTTTTCATGCAATTGTTTTTTTTTTTTTTTTCAGACCGACTGCATATGTGGAACTTTACTATGACCTAAACTGTATATTATGGTAAACTCTTCATTAATATGTATTTTAAAACAAATGGTAAAATTGTATATTTCTTAAAAGATATTATGAATTACAGTACAACATTTTATTATTATTATTATTATCATTATTTTGTGAAGCTTGGCCAAGAGTTATGCACTATTATGCAATGTTTTAGATTATTTTTATTATTTATTTATGGAAGATGAGAAGTAGGTTAGAAGTTTAACTCGAGCTTTGGCCGGTTTCATTTTGATTCTATGTGCCTGACAGTAGATTAAATGTGAAGAAAAGATGTTGTGTTTCTTTGTCATCATGGAGAAAAGATACAGTGGAGTTGCAATAATTTGAAAAATACCGTACCTGTAATACTAGTTTTTAATTTTTTTAATTTTGGGGTCAAACATTCATAATTAATTTGCAGCCGAGTGGGGCTGCTGCAGTGTTTATTTACATAAGAAACCATAAAGGTTGTGGAAATGTTATTTCAATGCTCTAATGTGACTTTGAAATAAATAAAATATAACAAACTAAAAAAATAAGAAAAATTAAGCCTGGAAAGTGAATTCTGTGTGGGAGAGATGGGAGGTTGGGCTGGCTGCACTGGAAAATTCCCTCCCTCTGCTACCAGAGGCTCCGTCACCCCACGATCCCATCAGTATGCAATTTCGCTACAATTCCTGTTTTATTTAGGTTCATTTGGTGCCTTGCTAAAAACATTATCAATAAATAGTCAATTTTCCCAGGGGAAAAAAATAACAAAAAAATCCCACACTGAACCCCAGATGAGTTATTGTCTCATTAAATTCTTGATGCTTTTTTTACACTTCAAACAGTTAGCCATCCAACCAGCCCGGTGCCTGTTTGTCTCGATATTGGTGTATTGGAAGGAGTTGTTCATGTAATACAGAACTACTTTTTGTACAATATCTGTTACTGTATTTTTTATATAGTATTATGTATGATATTTACTGTTTATTAAAGCGGCTTTGGGAACGTTTATACATATTTTTTTGGCCTCCAGAACTTAATTACCGGTACTTATTTCCATTTAAATCAATTAAATTATAATTCGCAATTTGACAATTCACGGTGTCTTCTGGTACCTAACCCGCAAATTATCATGACTCCACGGTATTGTGTTTGTGTGTCGTGGGGAGAAAAGATATTGTGTCTGTGATCATCTTTTTTTATGTACTTTTATGATTGGTTACGTATGAATATTTCTTACAGGGTTAATCTGTTAGTACTTGTGAAGGAAATGAACCATAGTCACTATTCCACGACACAGAATTTGCTGGGCCAACTTTCCCCTTGTCATTTTCATTCATAGTTGTTTATTATTAAATCTGTCATGATAAAATATTAACATTTTAAATAGAGAAGCAAAGAGGAGAGATTAAGAGATCTTATCCTTAAGCTGAATATATACAGCTTCCAGGATGGTTGAAGTTGATGAAAATTAAGATATGAGTTACATTAATACTGAGCAGTGTTATGGTAATGCTGTAGTAGTAACAATGTGCATTTACTGTGAGGCTTCTGAGTCTACTAAGGAAAATAAAATACCAACTTCCATTGTACCTAAATTTAAATATAGAAAAGAAATTAAAAAAAATAGCTTCTTAGGTTTATTTTTATATCATTGGGTGCGGTAGTTTGTTTTCCGTTGTTGTAAATACAGTACTGTACATATTTGGCAAACTTGGGTTGGGGAGGGGGGGACATAAGCTACGATATGCCCTTGCTTACTCAGAGGTTTAAGGTAAATATAAATTTCCCATATTCTAGGTCCAGGGTTATCAAAAAAAAATTTTTTTTTGCAGGCATTTTGTTTATGTTTTAGGGTAATCATAGTATTGGTCCGCACATTAGAAATTTACTTATGGATGTGTTACAAAAATAAAGTCGTGTGAGGCTCAGAGTTCCCACTTGTCTGAACTGCATAGGACACCCACAGGCCTAAATCCAGCACCCTGTGTAGAATTTTTTTTTTCTCGTCATCTCGAAGGTTTCTGTGAGTGTGTGTGTAGTTTACCCCTTGACAACAATGACTTAAGCCTTTGAATACAATGTCATCATACTCAAAGGGTTTAATGCCCTTAAGTGTGAAAAAGAATCTAGGAAACCTACTTAAGTTTTGTTTTAAATACAAGAAAAATGTAAATGGATACAGATAATGTATTAAAAATATAAATATAATAAAGTGAAATATAAAATTGAATAACAAATAAATAGAAATATACATTAATGAGGAAAGCAGAATTATCATTACGTACAGTAATATTATGTACCACAAAGCCTTCATGCATCACTGTTAATGGTACTAACTCCATACATACCCTGTTATTAAGAAAAATCCTACAAAACATAAGATTTAAATGTTCTCTCCACTATTGTATGATTGAGCAAGTGCACTTTTTTATAGATAAGACCACAAGCATTTGGCTGTCATAAGAAATGAATTTTTATTTAGTTTTTTTGACAAATACAGTACACCCTTGCCATTCGCGATTTCGACGATTCGCGGTAAGCAGATGGTGGCTATGGTGGCTAGCTTGCAAGCCTTTTCCCGCAGCACAACGAGTCACCCCAGGCAGCATCTCGTGTTGTACTCTCAAAACATTAGTGTTTCTGTGTGAAATGGCCCCTAAAAGACTGCCTAGTGTCAGTACTAGTGATGCCAGTGGAGTGAAAGGCAGAAGTCAGTGATGACCCTGTCAAAGAAAGTTTTATTATTAGATAAGTTAAAAGAGCAGATGAGTGCTGCCACGGCCGGTCAGTTGTTTGGTATAGGTACAGTATACAGTAGTGCAGTGAGGTAGTATAAGTTGGTACAGTATTTGCGGTTTTGCCAATTAGTGCCATGACAAGGGTCTACTGTATACAGTAAACTCTAGGCTGATCTATTTAAGCTGAGAAATTTACGCTTGTTAAACATTTTACACACGATAAATTAAATGTCTTAATTTTCAATGTATGTGTAGCAGATTTCTTCATTCACACACTATTCAAATCTCTATTTTCATAACAATAGCCAAAATTTTGCATCTACTCTTGTACATAAAGCAAACCTGCACTCAACTCATTAAGTATATTTCACCTAAACAGTGTACTGTATAGGCAGTCCCCATGTTACAAACAGGTTACGTTCCTGGACCCTGTACGAAGTCGATCCATTCATAAATCAGAACAGTGTTAATTCCATAATTTAGGTTACCTAGGTTAAAGCACAATTCTGCTCATGGAAAACAAGTTATATCCCATACATTACCCACAATTTAGTAATATCTCCACTAACCGGAATCCCTCAAACCCGGAACTCTCCAATAGCCAGAATTGAAATTTTCTCAAAATCATTCCCAAAGCCAGAATTTTTCGGAAAATTCCGGGGATGGGGGATTTTTAATCTGGGGTTGAGAGATGAAAATCGCGCATTTTCCGGAAATTCAGAGAAAATTCTTCTGGTACCCAGAAAATTCCGGTGATGAGGGATATTTTTCTGGCTTCAAGAGATAATGTAATGCACAATTTCTGGAACTTCTGAGAATATTTTTCCGTTACCCGGAAAATTCCGCGGATGAGGGATTTTTTTCGGCTATGTGATCTTAAACAATACAGAGTAATAAAAGAACAGTATTGTAAAAAATGGGATTTTAGTTGCAGATGTTTGTGATGAATATATTTGAATCCCATATGCAAGTGCGGGTGTTCATAACTCGGGGACTGCCTGTACTGTACTGTACTTTCTCTTGGCCAATCTATACTCGGTAAACATATTTCACCCATACTTTCCTCACTAGTGTCAGTAATTCTGTAGCATGGACTTACGATGCTTGCTAAAAACAGGGGCAATGCGGTACTGGTAAGTATTGCCTTCTACATAACCATTGTTATTCATGCGACTTCTAAGTTCTTCAATTGTGGGATGAGATGATTTGAATGCTGTTTGACCTCGACTCGCTTCCTGCTCCCACCTAGTTCGTAGTGCTGTCACATGACCTGTGGGAACATAAAAGACATTGGCATTTACAAAATCAGGCAACTATCTAGCTGTTATCTCTAACATTCACCCACTGTTGGGGGGGGCGGGGGGGGGCAGTGCTAAATTAAAAGTGTAGAAATTGAGAGGAAATGGCTGAAATAAGTATTAACATAAGTGTTCATATCCTCAGTTTGTATAAAAACTATACAATGTGAACCTTTAACTTCCATATTGACTGCAACACTTCAAGACTTCTACAATTTTCATCCACTCTTCTTCTACTCTTTATCAGCTTGTTTACCTTCTTATTCAAAACCTTCACTCTTTGTCTACCATCTTCATTATCTACAAGTAGACTAAGCACTCCATCTGCTTACTTTTGATCTTCAGGCTTTATGTATTGTCCAGGACAGACACACTACCTGGTATCTCAATATGAGTCACCTTATACTTATTTAGCATAATGGTACAATATAGCTTTCTCTCTAAACATACCCCGGTCCAATAGTCCCTAAAGGGAAAAATGGTCCCCAAATAATATGGATGTATCTATTCAACACATAGCTCAACATTTTCTGTCTATTCAACCACAGAAAATGGCCAAGGTAATATCTGTACTTTATGACTGAGGATGGGGTCTATAGTGAACCTCACCTTGGTAACAAAATACGATACAAATAGTGTACAGTAGGTTTTCAAATTTCACAAGTTTTTTATTCAACATTTTTTATTTGGACAAAAAAAAAAACACTTCACAATTTCAAATTTCGACGGCGGAAACTCGAATTTCGGCGGGTTTGAGCAGCCCGCCAACATTCAGACGTGCACAATCGTGTAACAGCGTCATTTCTTTTATGTACAAAAGATTCATTATTGTTTATTACTGAATGTCTTTTTGATTGAATTAATGTTTGTGTGCAAAATGAACAATACAATTCATTAACACGTAAAATATTAAAACACACGAGGAAATGAAACGGCATTGTTTTCGTTAATGCTTACAAAACCAGTGACTGATTGATTCTACTTATAAAACTGAAGAAAATAAGATCCTGGTTGTAGCTAGAGTAAAATAAATGTAAAAAAAAATAATATGGTTGTTTTAAGTTATGTTATTTAATGCTAATAAATGGAACAATAGAAGTAGCTAACCATTAATGGTAAAGAAAATAGTGATATCGCGTATGTAAGTGCGCACATGTGTGAACATATCGTCATTACTCTACATAAGAATATGAAAGCAACACTTATTTACTGTTCATATATATTTTGATTAATGTTTCTGAATTTAAAACAAAAATTCTACCCACCAGTGGTGGTAAAGTTGAAAACATAAGGACAGCCAATGTTGTTGTGTGTGTTTTTACTCTGATGACGAAGTTGCCAAGTCATCAGGTTCAACTCTACCTGAAGCTGTAGAACATAAAATCTTTTTCTGTGATGTTTTTAGTTTTTATTTAACTTTATGTGTTATTTTTGTTGGTTTATTAGGATGTTGCTTTATTACAGGTAGTAATTTGCCAAAAAAGTAGGGTAAATAAGACAAAATTTAGCCAAACATCGAAAGTACCAGACTCAAATTAATTTTCTCCATAGGAATTTGTATTTAAATTTGGACAATTTGAATTTACCGAGATTTTTACAGTCTAAATCGGTGTCCAAATATGAGAGCCTCTGATTCTTTCTGATTTTGAATGGTAACAATTGTAAAATTTCGGGGACCTTTTACCCTCTGGAAATTGAGGGACTGGCAAAGGGTTGGAAAGATAAATACAATGTAGCATAACCAGTCTACGGTTAACCCTCGACTTACTGCAACTTAGCCCCTTATTCAGCACAGAGGGGAGCCAGTACACAAACAGTCAATAGTATTCAACATTAAACCAGAAAACCGCCTCATCTTACAACCGCTTTCTCAGTTAATGCAAATTCGTTCGTAATGCGTCTCATGCAATGTGGGGAAGGGATTGATGAGCATGTGCAGCTTGAGGAAGGATTCACAGTAGCCCACTCTGTCACGTCTCTGTTTCACCAATGTAAGGCACTACATTCCCACCACGGTCTTGGTCACCTGACATAGGTTGATGATTCCTCTTGCCAGTAGCTCCTCCTCTCCCCACACCAGCTTGGCACCTCAAGCAAGATCCACCACCATGCAATGTTTACTCTTAAAAAGTTTTGCTGTTTTAATACATATAAAAATAAATCGAAATAATCATTAACCCTTTGGATGTGATGGTCACAGTAATGCCTAGGCCGTCAAAAAGTTTTCCTCCACTATATATTCAATCTCCCATACTCTATGAATAAAAACTAGCTAATATTATTGAATTATACTACAAATATAAAAATATTATTATAATTTTTTCACTGGGTAATTGAAACTTTGGACAATGCCCAGGAAATCTTATGATGACTCAAAGGCCTTAATGTTTGGGAATTCGACCTTCACTTATAATATGTGCTCTATCTATATGGGAAAAACGTTTTGAGTCACGCGATTTTGAGTTGTGTGTACCGGTACGTCTTCAAGAACAAAGCTATCATGTAAGTCGAGGGTTAACTACCCCTGAAGCATGACCAGACAACTGTGCCACATCACAACAATGTGTCTGATGGGTTAGCCACTCACCATGGATCATAAAAAGAAATTTCAGAATCAACTCCCAATTTCTTCTGATCCACAGCTGCCACACGTAACTGATTACAATTGACCATGATGTTCCTTTCCTACCACATTCAATTATTGGTATTTCACTCGTGAAGGTAAAGCATATTAGTAGTGTCTGGTAACCACAGAGTAGTATTTATACAGTCCAGTACTCACAAGTGAACACCATTATACAGAATCTTCCATGAATTTTCATTGCACTTTACTTTTTTTCATAAATTATATCCTAAAATTGATACCTTCTATATTATACTAGGAACTATTACTATAAGTGTTATTTTATACTGTATTAAAGAATATACTGTACTTTATAATTGATAAGGAGAAGAAACACAATATTTACCAGTACATTAACCCTTACACACATTTCTCTCGCATACACAGCAGTGATGGTGTGAGTATAAGCACCTGACTATTGATATGAATATCATCTAATTAAGTGAAAATAATTTTAGGTATATTTTTTTCAGTTCTCACACCACTTTTGTTGCCTTTATTTCTAATCACATTTGATTTTCATATTTTGCTTACCTTTACATATGTTCTGTAGATTTGGCAGAGACTCAATACACCAACAATCATACTACAGTATATGTTGGATTTTTCCAGCTTCACTGACTAAAACAAAAGACATGTGAGAACCTACTGTACATGTACAGTTACTGACGTAAGTCCTGTCGCCTCGTCTGCTGCTCCACGAACCCCAATATTCAGACTCGTGAATCTGAAGCATTTATGGAGCAGCAGAAGAGGTGACAGAACTCAGTTAGTGAGTGTACATATTAAGGCTTTATTTTATGTATTCATTAGTAGGGAGGCAAACTATATCTAAAAGTAAATGAAAACCATGAAAAACTGAACTGTACTTACCAGGAAGAAGTCGATGGGGTACTGTATTATTATAACTTTGGTAGGGGTGTTTGATGGCAGGTATGACCCCCACCAAAGAGGGAAGGGAAGCATAATGACACTCTAATTATTAGGGGCATGGGGCAGCCTCACCACCATCTTTTTCAATGAGGTGTTATACTGAAGAGAGCCAGTGAATCTAAGAACCTGTGGCACTATTACTTGGCACACCACTGTACAGTATATTATTAACATGGCTGTAGTTTATCTCTAATAACACCTCATCTGTGGCATTAATATTGTTGTGATAAACTCATTGCCTGACTACCTTAATTAACATACAGTCCTATAATCAAATATGCAAACATCTCCACATATAATTTAATATTTATATTCAATAAAAACCCATCACAAAAGATATTAAGATATTAACCCTAACTGTGTTAAATTCATCAACTAACAGTTTACAGTAAGCTGCCCATATCATCAATTGATTGTCTAAGCTTTTGAATCCCATCTTGAACAATACCCCCTGTATGTTGGTTGACAACTTGGACCCCTCTCAGCCTAGGTTCCAAGTTTTTAGACAGATGCACACCCTCTGTGTCTCATGCCAGCATCGAGTGTAAGGGATCCCCCCCTCGATTACCCTGTCCAAGATTAAGAGGCTATGTGAGGTGAATATCACTGATGAGAGCAATTATGAATTTGTAAAGGGAATTCAGTGACGAGGAAATATGTAGAAAAGAGTGATGTCCATCGAGTTGGAGTTATTGAAAGCAGGAGCCAGTCAGTGATGGAATCTAAGTCATGCATTGCCCTGGGTGTTCTCTTGGGGTGAGACACGCGGAAGCGATGATATTGTGTTTTTACTGTTGCTTTGCATGCACACTGTAAATACATTTTGTTAAGGCAAACTTAAATTTCAAGGACCAGCAATACACAACAGCAGTTCATAATCCCCAAAAATGTACAACCCTCATTTTGTACAGGTGGAATCTTGCATGATTTAGCCTTTTTAAAACCAAAATTTACTGTACAAGGGGCATTTCATAAATATAAGCACTGAACAACTAAGGGTCAAGCCTTTAGCCACTCTGGAAATCAAAACACATGCCTAGCCAAATCATTGTGGGAAGTGCACTGCATCATTAGGAGCACAGTTACCAGATATATGATGCATTCCTGTTCCCTGCGCCATCCCAATACCCATGTGGTGTTTACAGCATCAAATAGTTTCTTACTCAGTTATGCATTTGTTTTGTTCATGTAGTGTTTCATGTACATTAATTGCTGTACACACATAATGGGACCACCCAAATGACCTTCCAATATTCCTCAGAAGTGCACCCCAAGTAAGAAACTCAAGATACTTAAACTGGAAATCATATTTTAAATAATTTGATGAGGTGGGGGTGGGGGAGTCTGCACAAGTACAATAAAAAGAAATGGTGACAACATTAAATGTGCAGTGGCCTAGACAACCCCAGGAGCTGC